TTCCCTCTGCCTTTTCATGACTGGAGATAAGCACCCTGACTATGCCAAAACCTGTCAGTAACAGCTATGGAGCCTGCTTGGTCATATACATATTTCTACATGACTAGGTTCATTTAATTTCCTGGGTCCAGCCATTTTTCATACCTAAGAGGTTTCCCACCTTATCATTTAGCAACAATCACCACCCATTCACTGAAAGAGGTGTCTATCTTTCTCTTTCTTTCTGGAGCTCTCTGTCTCTCTTACAAACCATACACGCACACATGTATACATGAATACACATGCACATACACACTCGCATGCATACACTTACATGACCTCATGAGCCCTTGTGTGTCTTGGGAGGATATTTATTTACAGGAATTTTTTTTGAGCATCTATGTGTTGGTCATCTTAGGACCTTAGTTAATCATGGAAAGGTTTGTCCCCAGAAGGGAAGCCACAGGGGATGAATTATTTTTGGCCTCAGCAAATCATGCAAGCATCTATTCAGGCATGCAGGAGATGCAATCTGTATCAGCAAAAGGAGTGGTCACATCAAAGACATTGCAGTCTTTTAAAATAATTCTTAGAGGCAGAAGGAGATGTAGTAGAAGGAATGCTAACCTCAGTGCTGTGCTACAATCCCAGTTCCTATAATTACTAACCATGTGACCCCAGGCAGATCACTTGACTGCTGAGCCTCAGTTTTCTCATCTGTAAAGTGGCATTATAATACTTGCACTGCCTACTTCATTCACCACTTGTGAGGAAAGTGCTTTGCAAACTGTAAAGGGCTGTAGACATTGGAGTTATTATTCAGATCAAGTCAATAATCAGTTGTGAAGTATCGATTATGTGCAAAAGTAGCATACTTAGTACAAGTTACTAGGTGCTAGTAGGAGGCTCTATGTACTAGAAACTGAAGATATGAAAATAAAAATGAACTATACCTGTCCTCAAAAAACTTAAATTCTACTGGGGGTATATAAAATGTGTGTAAGTAAGAAATATAAAGTATATACGCAGTAATACAAAGTAAGGGGGCAGGAAGAGAGAAGGTGACTGAGCTGGGCTTTGTAGAAAACTAGGGATTCAGCCAGGTAGAGGTGAAAGAGTGCAGATATGGAGGATCATATGTTCAAACATACAGAGGAGAGAGATTGTATATCATCTCCAGGGAACAGCTAGCAAGCTAGTTTGACTAGAATGGAAAATGTGTGAAAGGGAGTAATATGAAATAAAATAGGACACGTGGGTTAGAGTCACACTGGGGGACAAGGGGCTGTAAAAGGCTGGGATTAGAATTTGACAGCTGCAATAGAAAATGTTGAAGATTTTGAGGATGGGAATCTATGTTTTAGGAATATTCATTGGCAGTAATAGAGGACCAGATTGAAGAAGAGAAAAGACTAGAGACATGGAGACAAATAGTTACTAGGGCAAGAATAAATTTATAAATAAAATTAAAAGAAACAAGGTTTCTTTGTGCACAGAAAGCACTCTTGCAAGATTTCACTTTACAGGTCCTTATCTATCAGAGTGTCCTCTTTCTCCACCTCCACCAGGCAGTTGGCACCATGTGGTATGGATGCCAGCCTAGTTCAGTACAGGCCTCAGGAAAGCCCTAGTTGGGTCTCTTTCCCTCAAAACTCCCATTTCAGAATAGAAAATCATTGTTCTAGTTCAATATTAGCTTCTTCCAACTTCTGGCTCCCTTTGTTTGACCCATTTATCTGTTTATAGGAGATGTAGTACACACAAAAGTGCTATATCAAAGCTAGCTATTGTTTATTCAGGAAAAACTTCCCAACATCTGACCCCTCTAACCCAGAAGTTTCCCATCCTTGGACTTTAGTGATGGGTCTACATAGTCTCCCAATGATTACTACCTCAGTACTGTGAAAGACCTGTTGGTCCTCCACTGGTGTTGGTCCTCCTCATCCAGAAGCAGATCTCAACACCTCCTTGCCTTAGCAGACAGTTCTTGGTAAGTGCCTGGGGCCAACACTCTGGAGATGAGCCTCTTTGCACTTAGCTAAGCCTCAGGCGACAGATACACAGATCTTACCCCAGACATCTTGCCTTTCCATCTCAGTAAGATTTGCCAGTCCCAACTCTGCTATCAGAGCCTTTAGTGCCAAGATGACTAGCCAATCACTTAATCAACAAGCATTGATTAAGTGCCTACTCTGTGCCAGGCACTGTGTTAGGAGCAGTCCTGTTTTCAAGGACTTTATATTCTATTGTAAAGGCAGCATGTACTGTATAAAGAATACATAAGTTAAAGGGCAGTAGCAGCTGGGGGCAGCAGGAGAGGCTTCATGTGAGTGGGTTGGGGAGGAACTTAAGAGTTTTGAAGAAAATAAAGGATTCTAAGAGTTGAAAGTGAAGGAGTTGGAAAGCATTGCAGTGGCGGCTGACCAGTGCAAAGATAAGAGATGGAGTGTTATCTTGGAGGAACGAGAAGGCGGCCAGTTTATCTGGACCTTAGAATGTTGGAAGAGGGATAATGTTTAATGAAGTTGGAAAGGTGGGTTGGAGCCAAGTTACGAAGGTCTTTAAAAGCCAGAGTTTATGTTTGATCCTAGAAGCAACAGGGAGCCATTGGAGTTTATTGAATAGCAGAGCAACATGATCAGACCTGCAGTGATACAACACAAGGAATCCTTTAGTAGAGGGTGTGATCATTTACTGCTTCATTAACTGCATCAGAGCTCACAGACTGGTTACAGTGGCCAGACTAATCCTCCCGAAACTCAGCACTTTGACTCAAAATATCTGAGCAAGAGAGGGTCATGCATGGCTCGTGCATGGGACAACCCATGTACATGCTGGCTTCAGTAAATGTTTAGGATTATAGGATTTAGGAAGGGACCTTTGGGATCAGCTACTCCCAAGGCAATTAAGTATAGCTTTGAGTGAGGGCTTTTTGCCAGGGAACCAAAATTTAGAGTGCTGACAAGCCTCCCTTCTTCAAAAGGGAGAATAACTGAGCTTAGAACCTGGTTAAAAATAATAGCTAAAATAGAAAGCTGATAGATAGTGCTTGCTTTCCCAGACCCTCATTCTACATCCTTCTCTGGCCTTCTCCCCTCAGCCATCGTCTATTCCCACTCCCATCTCTATAGTGCCTAGTGCCCTGAGGTGTGAGGTCTCTGTCTTCCCCTCCCCCTACAACTTAATTTGACTTAAAAGTTTATATGAAGGTAACTTTCCCACTGCTTGCCCCCAAGGTACTAGAATTGTTTATTAGGGCTCCAGCTAGTCTAATCTTTTCATTTACAGATGAGAAAACTGAGACCCAAAAGGGTTAAGTGATTTGCCCAGTATTATACAGTGACAGAGCTAAGATTCAAACCCAGGTCCCCTAAAGCCAGTGTTCATTCCACTACATCACATTTCTTCCTCTATTAAATGAATTGGATGATGATAGATAAACATAATAATAATAATAATAGCTAGCATTCATATAGTGCTTTAAGGCATACAAAGCACTTTATAAATATTACCTCATTTGGTCTTTATAACAACCTTAGCAAGTAGGTGCTATTATTATCCCAATGTTACAGATGAGGAAACTGAGGCAGATAGCAGCTAGGTAATTTGGCCAGGATCACACAGCTAGGAAGTATCTGGGACTGAATTTGAACTCAGGTGTGTATCAATATAGGATACAAAGAGGCAGCAAAGTGGATATATTACACATATATCTATTACAACTCCCTACACACACACACACACACACACACACACACACACACCCCAAGAGAAAGAACATTGAACTTAGGGTAATAAGACCTCATTTACCCACAGCTGACCACCTGTGTGACCTTAGACAAGATCTTTCCCCCTCTCTGAACCTTACTTTCTGTGTTTGTTCATTGCGAAGGTTGAACTGGGTCAGAAATTAATGCCTTTAAGTATATATAATAAATAGGGTTGCACAATATATATAATACATATATAAAAACCAATTATATGAAATATGGTTATCAAAATATTTATTTAAGTTCATGAACCCCAGGTTAAGAACCCCTGATCTCTCAGATTCTTTCCAGTTCAAAATCTTATGATTCTATGATCTATAGCATGGGAGCAATCATACTTTTACACTACCTCCCTCTCAGGTTTTATGTGAGAGTCCAATGAGATAATGTCTGCAAAGTACTATAGAAATGTGATCTGTTATTATAGGTAATATAACTGGCCAGATCGAAGTTAGTAGTCAGGATCTACTGCTTGTATGTATGACTGTTAAGTACTTTATAAATATTATTTAATAATGTTATAAAAAATATTATCTTATTTGATCCTCGCAACAACCCTGTGAAAAAGATGCTGCCATTATGGCCATTTTACAGCTGAGGAAACTGAGACAAACAGAGATAAAGTGACTTGCCCAAGGTCACACAGCTAGTAAATGTCTGAGGCTGGTTTTGAACTCAAGTCTCCTTGACTCCAGGTCCAGCATTCTACCCAGTGCTCCACCTAGCTGCCATTATTTTATTTGTTGTTCAGTCATTTCAGTCACGTCCAGCTTTTTGTGGGTTTGTCTTAAATCCCACTTGAGGTTTTCTTGGCAAAGATACTAAAGTGGTTTTCCATTTCCTTCTCCAGTTCATTTTACAGATGAGGAAAATGAGACAAGTGACTTACCCCAGATCACACAGCTAATAAGTATCTGAGGCCAGATTTGAACTCACAAGGATGAGTTTTCCTGATTCTAAGCCCAGCACTCTATCCACTGTGCCACCTAGCTGCCCCACCATTACTTTAATAATCAATGGACAAATTAAGTGGTATGGGGTTGAGCTAGGTGGGAGGTCAGAAAAGGAATAAATCTGTGTGGACTAGAAGATGGAAAGCCTTCAACTAAGAGGTGGGCCTTGAAGGAAGAGGTAGTATTTGGATGATTCTTTCACTACTCAGGATTCTAAGTCTGAATAGCCTCCTCTGCCCTCTGTTTCAGAACCATTGGACAGCCGTTGGATAGGCTATGGCCAAGGGCTTATGGGAAGATGGGCAGCACTAAAGAGACAGCCAGCCTGCAGTTGTTACATCAAGAACCTGGGCTCCACTTGCCACAGGTAGCTCAGTCTGCCTCTCTGTGTGATCAGGTTAGGAGCTGCCAAACGACAGACCTGGCCATGAGGAACTGCTGTGTGAGTGAGCTGGGCCTCCCTAGTGAAGCAGCCAGCTCTGAGCCCCAAGCTCATCCCAAGAAGGAGGCCTCGGAGGTGAGTCTGGGACCTAGCCACCCCTGTGGGCCTGCAGAATTGGCATCTGGATCAGAGAAACAATTACCACTGAGTCCAAAAGAACTGGATCCTAGTGGGAGCTCCCTGATTTGCTCCTCTGATTCCAAGTGCTCCAGCCCCTCTTCAACTTGGGCCACCAGGGGAAAGGAGGAGTCAGAGAAAGAGGCCACTTTGGGGCTACCAGAAGAACCACCCCAAATAGAGGCTATAATAGCAACCTCAGGCCTGCTGCAAGCTTCAACCTCAGGGAAGCCAGATCCTGTGTCCTGTGAGAAAAAGGATCCTACACCCTCGGGGAAAATAAATTCTGTCACTTTGGAGAGCATGGATCCCATGTCCTCAGAAAAAAATTATTCCACCTCCATGGGGATGAAGGATTCCTTGTCCTCAGGAAGATCAGACCCTGCATCACTGAAGAAGGATGGTCCTGTGTCACTGGAGAAGGTAGATCCTGTATCCTCAGGGAAAACAGATCTCTTGCCCCAGGGGAAAGCAAATCCTGTGTCCATGGGAAGGCTGGATCCCATTTCCCTAGGGAAAGCAGATCCTTCATTCTCACAGAAGGCAAACTCTATACCTTCTGAGAAGACAGATCCTATGTTCTTAGGGAAAGTGGATTCTCTGTGCTTGGGGAAGGAAGTTGTCATTGCCTCAGGAAAGACAGAGTCTTTGCCTTCAGGAAAAGTAGATTCTGTGGCCTCAGGGAAGGCAAATTCCATGTCCCAGGGGAAAGTGGCCCCTGGGCGCTTGGGGAAGGAAGATGTCATTGCCTCAGGAAAGGCAGATCCCATGTCTGCAGGGAAAGTACATCCTGCATCCTTAGGGAAGGCAGATTCCACGTCTCTGGGGAAAGTGGATCCCGCGCCTTTAGGGAAGGCAGATCCCATGTCCTCTGTGGAGGTAGATCTCACATCGTTAGGAAAAGTCAATCTAGCATCCTTGGGAAAGGCAACTTCCATTTCTCCAGAGAAAGTGGATTCTGTGCCCTTGAGAAATATGGATCCTATTTCCTCAGGGAAGGCAGATCCTATTTTCTCAGAGAAAGCAAAAGCCATTCCCTCGGGAAAGATAGAGCTTATGCTGTCAGGAAAGACAGATCCCATCCCTTTGGGGAAGATAGATCCCATGTCCCTAAGGAAGGAAGATCCCATGTCTTTAGGGAATTCAGATTCTGTCCCCTTGGGGAAGGTGGATCATGTTTCCTTGGACAAGGTGGAGCCTATGTCTTTGGGGAAGACAGATTCTGTCTCCTTAGGGAAGGTGGATCATGTTCCCTCAGACAAGGTAGATCCTATGTCCTTGGGGAAGGTAGATCCAGTGTCCCCAGGGAAAACAGATTCTAGATGCTTGGAAAAGGTTGATCCTGTACCCTTGGAGAAGGCAGAACTCACGTCCTCGAGGAAGGGAGACTCTGTGTCTTCAGAGAAATTGGATCCCCTGCCCTTGAATAAGGTGGATCCCAAGCCTTTGGGGAAGGTAAATCCTATGTCCATGGAGGAACTGGATGCTATGTCTTTGGGAAAAGCAGACCCAGTGTCCTCTAAGAAGTCTCCAGCCTCAAAAGAACTTCTCCCAGAAAACTCGAGTCAGGGCTCAGCCTGCCCTAAACCAGAGACAATGCCTTTCTCTGACTCCCAGAGATTGAACAAAGAAATGGCTATTTGTGGAGTACCCCAAGATACCCAGCCTGACTTCAGCCACAAGGCAGCAGCAGCTCTCCTCGCCACTGGACCTGGAACCTCCTCAGTGAAGGTTCCTGGGACCCAAGCAACCACAGAGGAATCTCAAAAAACAACATCTGCATCCCCAAGCCAAGGATGGTCATCAGGGCACTCTTCACAATCAGCCCTACAGAAGATGAACCCAGCTGACCCTGCCAAGGCTGAAGCAGAGGAAATGCCACTGACCCCAGAGAGGATCCAGGAGCTTCCTGGAGCCCCACAGAAAGGAGTGGGCCCAATTGCAGTCAGGGAAGTCAGGACTAGGGATAATTTCACCAAGGTACCATCCTGGGATGTGAGCACTCCACAACAGGATGCTGGCACCCAGGCAGATACACGTGCTGTCTGCGTGTCTGTGGCAGTGAGCCCCATGACTCCCCAGGATGGCTCAGGCCCCACAACCTTCAGCTTCCAACCCAGTGCTCAGAATGCTACAGCTTCCCGGAGTCCTGGCCTACTGCTATCCAAGAAGGACGTGGAGATGCAGGTGTCTATGAGTGTGGAGACCCGGTCAGTAGCCACTGGCCCCATGACCCCAGTGACCACATCACCCCAGTCCTCATATCCAGAAGTACAGGTGCGAGCAGCTGAGGAAGGTCCTGAGCCTGTACGGGAGGTCAGCTGGGATGAGAAGGGCATGACATGGGAGGTGTACGGGGCCTCCATGGAGGTAGAGGTGCTAGGCATGGCCATCCAGAAGCATCTGGAAAAGCAGATCGAGGAGCATGGGCGGCAAGGGGGACCGTCTGGGCCACAGCTACCTAGCACTCGGGCTGGCTCTCTCAGAGGTGGCCCCCGGCCTGGGGAAGCCAAACGCCCCCCCAGCTTGTTCAGGGCCCTGTTGCAGAGTATACGGAGGCCCCGGTGCTGCTCCCGGGCCGGCCCCGCAGCTGAGTGAGCCACCCTTCACCCTACCCTGGCCCTAGGTCCTCCCCTCTCCTTTTTATAAATCTACATCAGTGTCTTGTGGTTTCTCAGGCAGCACCTCACCTCCCACATCCTCCTCCCTAATTCCCACCTCCTGCTGAAGCCTCTGAAGAGTGAATCACTCACTTTCACAGGACCACACTAGGGGTCAGAGGCAGAATGATCCCAAAGCACCCAGGCCAGGTCCTCTGGCCAGCCTAAAGTCATCCCTGCCCAATGTGCTTGGGTTTCTCCCTTTTGCCTCCCTCAGTCCTGGAGGAATGGGTTCATCAAGGAACTCAACATTGCCCAGGGCCACTGGGAACCTGCTCAACCCCACCCCCCAGCCTGGGCCCCACTGCCCTTTTGAAGGCACAAGCCCCAGCAACTGTACCTGGTGTGTCTCTGATCCCAAGGCCCAGATAGCCCTCCCCATCTCACCCCAACCCCAGACCTTGGAGGTGGCCTTGGATCCAGTCAGTCCTTTGGATCCCTGGGTTGCCCCCTCCCCAAACCTCCTTGACTGAGCCCCTGAGGTAGGGAGGGGAGAGGAGAGGGTGGTGATGAGAGGAGGGGTTGCTACCCTGGGACTACAAAACCCTGATAATAGCTGACATTCGTTCTCTTGTGCTCTAAAGTTGGCAAAGTATTGTACATCTGTTATCTCCCTTGGCCCTCACAATGGCCCCATGAGGTAGGAGGGACCACAGGTATTATCATCTCCATTTTACACTTGAGATAACAAGCTCAGAGAGCTAAGTAACTTGCTTTCAGTCTCACAGCTAGGAAGTGTCTGAGGCAGGATTTGAATTCAGATCTCTCCTGATCCCAAGCCCAGTACCACACTGCCTCTCCCACACGGCCCTAGAGAGGGCAATGCATGAGAAATATGAACAATTTGGTAGCAAGGTCTGTATGCATGTGGATCCATGAAGGAAGACCTCAAGTGAGTATGTAAGGTCTCAAGTGTGTGAGGTTCTGAGTGCAAGCCCCAAGTGCACTGCCTCAAAGCTACCAGTATTTCTCAAATGGCCCATGTGTTCCCATTTCTGAATCACTCAGCAGCCTGGCCATGTCTGGCTTATTCAGAGAATGGGATGTAGAAGCTGATGGCAGGACCCCTGAAGGGGCAGGTAGGGCTTAAAATGACCCCTTACCTCTCCTTAGTCTATGCTACAAAGGTTGGGCTGGGGGACATCAGATATTTCTCCTGGCCTCTATTTCCTCCTGGTTAGAGAGGCAGGGAAACTCCCCAAGCCTTCCCCTGATTTCCCCAATTAAAATTTATTTCTAAATGCCTAGGACATCTAAAAGGAGCTGCTATTAAGACAGCCTGATTACCTCCTGGTTGCTGTGCCCAAGGCAACTGAGGAGGAGGCTCACAGACCATGTCGGGGCTCCTCGATAGTCAGGGGTTTACAGACAGGTGCCAGGGATTATAAACTGGATAAGGAGTCACAAGCCAGCGGTCACAGACAGTGAGAGGAATATGTTAAGTATTTTACAAGCTTATAAAGGGTCACAGATGAATTACGAGCTTTTAGACAGTCTAGAGCTACCAGCAGGTTGGGGTTTACAGACAGGAAAGGATTCATGGATCAGGGAATGAGGCTGGTCAGGGGTCAGAGTAAGATAACAAATTAGTCAGGGAATAAACAGGTCAGAATTCAAACCCTGACAGGCTAGGGGAGATTACAGATAAAACCCCTAAGTCCTGAGCAAAGGCAGCTATCCCTTTAAAAGCATCCCACACCCCCTCAATAAAACCACTCCCCACCCTAGGTTCTCTGAGCCTGTCTCCTTTCCCCCCACCCCTGGCTTGTCATCTCCTGTCTGCTGGATCTGGTGTGAGCTCGCCCTACCATCTGTAGTGACCAAACCGTAACTCCTCATTCCAATGCCTGACAACTGTCCTATCCCAGCTCCCCCTGCCCATTGTTTTGGGGTACAATTTGTCAACCTGTGCATTGGTAATAAAACATTTCCCCAAACCTAAGGCCTGATTGATTGAACTGGGGGTGGGGGTTGAGGAGAAGAGGAAGGAAAAGAAACTATACTATGCATACAAGAGAATTAATTTATTATATATCACAGGCTGAGGCCAGCCACCAGGCCTGAAGCACATGCAGGTGAGATGAATGAGAGACATAGCAGTGAAGCACTGAGTCTCATCCCAAAAGCAGATGGGTCAGGACTCACAGATTGTCACATACATCATCAACAGGTCAGGGCTCATGCTATGTGTTCTGAGAGGAGGAATGAGAGAGGGGGTGACCTCAGGAGTGGGGTAGGAGGGTGGCATTTGGTGTAGGCAGGATCAGATGTCAGTGGTATCCAGAGCCATGTTGAATTCGCCCAATTTCAGCACCCTCTTGTCCTTTTCTTGATTTTTGCCCTTTCCTTCCTTCAGCACCATGGTCAGCGGCTCACCAGCTGTCAACTCTGGTTTCTCCTAGGGAGACAGAGGCCAATTGCCAATGAAGGGTGAGGAAAAGGTTCCCACTCCCCTGACCTGCCCAATGAGGGGATAGGCTAAAATCTCCATGGCAGTAGCAGAATTGGACGGTGGGGGTACAGGAGGACATTTAGACCCACAAAACCTAGTCCCTTGCTTAGGCAGTGCTTTAGGACCAGGAAGGACAGATCTGAGGATTCCAGTGATGGCTGGGAATGATGCACATGGAAAGGGATAGGGGACCCCCTGGAAACCAAGAAATGAGTCCTAGTGAATTGCCACACCCTGGCCCACCCCCAAGGACCAAGGCTTGTGAGAATGGCCTGAATGCCCTTCTCCCATCACTCCTACCCCCATCACTCCTAACCCAGGGTGTTCAGTCAGGAACTCAATCAGCAAATGATTCTTGAATCAGATTATGCACAAGACCCTGTACTCTATGCTAAGTAGGAGCCAAGAGGAGATGGGGTGAGGAGGATGAAGAATAATGAATAATGAAGATAATAAAGAAGAGAGTGATGCCTGCCCTTAGAGAGCTCATGATCTAGTAGAGGGGATATGTCATGGAATGCAAATAGCTATGTTACAGGGTAGGAAGGAATAAATATAAAAAGAAGTGTAAACATAAAGTCAGAGATGGGCAGGGCTATCAAAGAAGGCTTACTGAAGGAGGAAGCATTTAAACTGAGCCTTGGAGGATAAGAAGAGGAAGATTTCAGCAGATCCAAATGGGGCATTGTAGGCATAGAGTAAAGGCAGGAAGGGATGGGGAAGAACATGTGCAGGCACACCTTGCTCTAAGCAAAAAATATAGTATTTACTTATGTGAATCAAGTGTTTGTAACTCAAATTCCATTTTAAATGTACAAGTGAAGCTTGATACTTAAAGGAAGACTGTAGTGAGGTCTTCTGAAAAGTAAAATTTTATGTTTTGTCAATTCTCTGTTTTGAAAATAAAAATATTCTTAAAATGAAGCTTGTACGTGTCCATGGTTTTCTCATCTGAAAATATCAGGACTACCCTTGAGGTGGTTGGGGTGACCTGAGGTATTGCCACCCTGCTTGGAGGCAACATCAGAGTGGTTCAGTCCCTTTCCTGGAACTTTTCAATGTCTCAGGGCCCCTGGCCTTCCAGGAGTGACACCTTATTTGCACGCATGCGCTCTCTCTCTCTCACTCTCTCTCTCTCACTCTCTCTCTCTCTCCTTCCAGCCCCACAAAAACCATCACACATCCATCAGACATCATATTCATCCCACAGGCATCACCACATACACCCACATTATCACACACAATTGCTACACATGTAATACACTATGGCACACAAACATGCCCTCACATATACACAGACATAGCATGACCTCCCTCTCTCTCTCTCTCTCTCCCATTCTCTCTCTTTTTCTCCTTCCCTCCCTCTCTCTCTACCCCTCTCTCCTTCGTCCTCCCTCATTGCTTCTGCCTTCTCCCTCTCTTTCTCCCCAGACTACTACTGGACTCTTTCCTGACTGAGACTTTTCCATTCCCTGATAAACAGTGGAACATTTGAAGGCCCCATGAGGAGCCCAAAGGCTAAAACCTTGCACAGAATTCCCTTGGCTTCTCCCCAGCTGCAACCGTCCCCATCCTAAACATAGATTGTCAGAGTCAGAAGAAACTTTAGAGACCACTCAACCCAAAACGATCATTTAACAGAGGAGTAAACTGAGGCCCAAAGCAGGCAAGAGACTTGCTCAAGGTATTCTCTACCTCCAATGCCACAGAGATCCTGAGGGGTCCCTTCCCTAGCCCAACCCAGTCCAGTACCCTGGAGAAGGAGCTCTGGGCCTGAGGAATAAGGTCCATAGGGAGATGCTGGGGAGTCTGGTGGAGTACAATGAAAAGAGCCCTGGTCTGGGGCTAGAGCTTCCATGGGGATAATAAAATTTAGAACAGGAGGAGACCTTAAGGAAGCTCCTCTTATTTTATAGATCAGGAAACTGAGGCCTAGAGAAGACTGGTGATTTGGTACAAGCCATGCAGCTAGGCTAAGCAGCAGTCAGAATTTCACCTCATTTCCTTTGATTTTATTTTATTTTATTTTATTTTTTTGGTGAGGCAATTGGGGTTAAGTGACTTGCCCAAGGTCACACAGCTAGTAAGCGCTAAGTGTCTGAGGTTGGATTTGAACTCAGGAAATTGGGGTTAAGTGACTTGCCCAGGGTCACACAGCTAGTAAGTATCAAGTGTCTGAGGCAGGATTTGAACTCAGGTCCTCCTGACTCCAAGGCCAGAGCTCTATCCACTGTACCACCCAGCTGCCCCAGGTCCTTTGATTTTAAATCCAGGATATTAAGCCTGAGAATTTAAGCTGAGAAGCCTATTTCCCAGGTCAAGCCCACCCAGGAGCAGAAACCTGGGTTGTAGAAATATCTTTGAAATTGTTTTGTCCCTTCCTTTGTTTCTCAGTCAAAGTTTTCTTTTAAAAACAGCACTCTTGTCTCAGCTCCTCTAAAGGACTTGGAGTTAAAATAAGATCTGGGTTCCCATACATTTCCCTATTTCTAAAATGAGAGTAGGGATATTGATTTTTAGTTTATTCTAACTATACCTCTCAGGAATTCTGTGGGATATGTTCTTTACAAACACTAAAGTTCTATAAAAATGTGAGGTATTAAGGATGATGGTAGAAAAAAGGTTACTGCCTCTGGGCCAAATAGGTAGGAAAACAGAGGTGTAGAGGATGGGCTGACTACATGCTAATCTCTTTGTTGATAAGTACAGTGTAGGGGCAGCTACCTGGCACAGTGGATAGAGCACTGGCCCTGGAGTCAGGAGGACCTGAGTTCAAATCCAGCCTCAGACACAACACTTACTAGCTGTGAGACTCTGGGCAAGTCACTTAACCCCAACTGCCTAAAAAAAAAAAAAAAGACAAGTACAATGTAGCTGAGAGCACGAAAGGAATTACAGTGTTATCATGGAGGAGTAAGAAGTTGGACTTGTAACAGGCTTATGAATGTCAAGAACTTGCAGAGTCCTTAGAATGTAAATGATCAAGGTAGGAGAACCTTAGAATAGATTGTCACGGCTGGAAGGGTCTTTCCATAGAACACAGGGTATCAGTTCCAGGGACAATTATATTGCAACATATAAACCAGCATTTCAGAGTTGGAAGGGACCTCAGAGTTCATTTAGTTCAAACTTTCACTTGACAGATGAGAAAACTGAGACACTATCTTGTATTGCTGTTATTTGTGGATGGGGGGCTCAACCGTTTACTGGATCAAAAGTTCTCCCATAGGAAGAACTGTGAGTTATTCCTCCCTTTTTGTTTCCCCCAGGGATAAGCACAGGGTCTTTCTCATAGTAGACATTTAATAAATCCTTGTTGAATTGAATTGAATAATGATAGTGATAGTAGTAATTGAGGGTGACGATGGTGAAGAAGGTTTTGTCCATGATAGTTTTAATGACTGGCTCTAAAAGTGCCTGCCGAACCCCTGAAGAATTTGTCACTGAGCCAGCCCTGAGTGAAGAAACTCCTTGTGACTTTCCTCCCTGAGCTCCTAGGAGGCCAGGGCTACATGGAATCTCAACGACTAGGAATGTTCTCACCTCCCTCCCTTTCTCACCTTGTGCTTCTTCCCTAGGTCATTGTCGATGATCATGTCCACATCTGTATCCACCTTGTTCTCATCCAGGGAGTTGATGCTGGAAAGGAAGGCTGAGCTCAAAGGGAGGCAGACAAAGACCCTTAGCCTGGGGTAAAAGGACTCTCCCTGATGAACAGGACCCCAGGGATCCCCCAGGGCTGATATCTCCTTAAGCCCAGCCCTTTACAGGGGCAGATTATCTCTAAAGACACTCAAGAGTCCCTCAGGAGGATCAGGTCAGGCATAAAATGATCTGTTCAGGCAAGAAAGACAAGAAGAGGGGTTGCTTACCTGGCAACATCATCTTCATTATGGGAGGAAAGAGATTCAAAGCCCAGATCCATCGAAGAGAGATTGAGCATGGGGTTGGCTCTGGAGGAAATCAGAGAATCTGAGAGCTTGGAAGGACCTCTGTGGCTAACTACCCCTAAGGTTCTTCCCAGTGTTAAAGCTATGATCTTACTACAGTCTCCCCCTAATGCAAGAATCGCCTTGACAGATAACCATCCAGCCTTTCTGCTTAAGTATCTCCAATAACAGGCAACTTACTACCTTGTGAGTGAATTCCTCACATGACAACGGCCATAGAACCATTGAGTATTAGAGCTGGAAGGAAACTATCTAATACATTTCTCCATTGCCACAGCATGCAACAGTGAAAAGAACACTTGGTTCTGGAATCAGAGGGTCCAGGTTCAAACCCAGGCTGGACTAGATGGCATTAATGTCCCTTCTAGCTCTAAACTCCATAATTTTATGATTCCATTTGGACCCAGGACTAAAATCCAGGGTCCCCAATTCAAAGAAAGGGGATCTTTCCACCTTGTTGCCCAATGGATAACATGCTGGACTTGGAGCAAGGAAGCGATGGATTGGAATCCTGCTGCCTCTGACTATTCCTAGCTGTGTGACTGTGGGCAAGTCATTTGACTTCTTTGACCTTCAGTGTCTTCATCTGTAAAGTAAGGATAATAATAGCACCCACCTTCCAGGGTTGTAGTGAGAATTGAGATAATGTTTGTAAAGCATTTTGTGAACATTGAAATGCTATACAAATGTCTGTTATTATTATGCCTCAGGATATTGGTTCCCAGAACTGAAGTTTCTCTTTGCCTATTCTCAATGCTCATAATAATAACAATTACAATAACCAGCATTTATATACCCAGATAAGGTTTTAAAAAGTCATCTCCTTTACATGACATCTCTTCTGTTCCTCACTATAAGAGAGAGAAAGAGAGAGATAGAGCTGCTATCATTATCCCCATTTTCTGGATAAGGAAACTGAGAATGCCCAGAGCCTCACAGCTAAGTAAGTGCCTCGGAACTTGGGTCTTCCTGATTCCAAGTCCAGCATTCTATCCACTAAGCCACCTAGTCGCCAATCCTCATTAACCCTTCCTCTAGTCACTTTCCCAGGGCCACGAGAGGGAATACTTCAAGCAATCTTCCACCCCTACCCTCAATCCTATCATCACCATCACCCAGTCGGTCCAAGGATGCTGCTTACTTCTCTGAATTAAACAGGTTTGTCCCAGGGATTACAGGACCCTGCAGGTTGAATCCAGGGCTTGTCTTCTTAGCCTCTTTAGCAGCCTTCACGGCTCTAAGTTTCCTTTTGTAGCTGAGGAGCAGGAGAGAAGGGAGTTGGGTCACAGGTGGAGGTGTGGTGGTGGGAAAGGGGAGCAGGGTATCTGTCTGCAGAGATGGGAAACAGGGGCAACCTAGGGCTCCCAAGGCTGCTGGCCCCAGGGTACCTCTTCTTGGTGCACACCAATGACACGGTCATGATGATGATCAAAAGTACCAAGGCACACCCTAGGCCAGCAATGATGTTGAGGAGTTCTGTCTCCTTGTCCTGCTTTACCTCCTCCCCAGAGCCCTGGAAGGTCAGAAGGACTTTGTTAGCCCCATCCCCCATTCCCCATCTCCCTCCAGCTCTCATCCCGTCCACTCTCTCCCACCAGCTCCAATCCCTGACAACTCTCCTCTACTCCCCATTTCCCATCTCCTACCCCCTTGCTCTCCCTCTAGCTCCTCCAGCTCCTATCTTCCAACCTCTCCCTCCTCTCTCCTTGACTAAAGGTACTCACAATCACCACCAGCCCAAGTTGTAGCAGTATCGCTAACACCTCCTGGTCACCACGGATTAATCTAGCCAAGAGAAGATCACTTAGGCTCCTGCTCAAGGGACTGGAGACTCTGCTTGTCCCTAAGGCAGGAAGCTGGATCTCATCCTAGAAGCCTGTTGCCTCACCCCTCCACAAATACACCATCACCCACGGCCCTCAGTCACCCATGCAACTCACAGGTTGAGTTCATTGAGGTTCAAGGCTGTTCCATTGGGGTATACAAAGTAGGCATCCATATAAGATAAGCCCTTAGCTCTGAGAGAAACATAGACAGAATGAGGTTAAAATATGGGGAGGGTGTCAGAGGGTTCTAAAATCTAAGGGTGGAAAAGAACCTCAGAGGTCATAGGGCTCTGCTAGAGAAATTCCAGTGAAAAAAAGCTCACTACGTTCCAAGACTGCCCATTCCTATCTTCTTCGTGAGGAAGTTCTTCCTTCTCTCTAGCTTTAAACTACTCTCTTTTCCCTGTTGTTCCTTGCTCTGGCCTGAGAAGCCAAACAGGACTAATTGAATCTTTTTCCCTCACTGCAGCTGTTCACAGCTGTCACACCCCAACCCCCATCCCAGTCTTCTCCAAGTTTAACCTCCCCACTTCCTTCAACCAATGCTTGCCTAGTCTCTATTCCTCTCACCATTCTGATTGTACATGCTCCAATTTGTCCATGTCCTTCTTAAAATGAAAAACCCAGAACTGAAGACAATTCAGATATATTCTGGCCAAGGCAGAGAATATCAGCATTACAGGCTCTCTCATTCTGGACAGGACACCTCTATTAATCTATCCTAAGATCAAATTCATTTTTTTTTCCTTTTGCATATCACATTACACTGTGGGGACTCATGGAACTTGAAGTCCAGCAAGACTCTTTTCCCAACCAGGTCTTTTTCACATAGACAGTTACCAAGTCACACCTCCCTGTTCTGCCTGATGCTAGTTATTTATGCCTATGCTTTATCTTTACTACTGGACCAAGAGCATCCTGAGGGCAGAGACTGTTTAACAATATTAGTAGTAAGACCTGTAAGGAACTGAGTCTTGGTACCAGGGCTAGATTAGGACCCTAGGACCCTAGCGAGATATATAAAGACTCTTGAAGGTCTTCAGGGAACAGAGCAGCTGATTAAGTGCCTAAGATAGGTATTGGAATCACAGAGGATCCAGGAGGTAGCATGTGAGATCCAGGACCTCTCCATCAGGTGGAAGAACTGAGCTCAGGAAGGTAAATTCTCTCTCTGGGAGACTCTTCAAGCAGGATCCTATAACACTCATGGCCTTTGGGAAACGAAGGACAGCTGATGCTGGATGAGAGGAGCACCTTGGCTAGCCTTTGGTTCATGGGAAAAGGAATTCAAGGTTTTAGTGGATTCCAAGTTCAAGGTGAGTCACCAGTGTGAAGTGGTAACCAAGAAATTTTTTCTCAAGTTTCCCTAGAGAACTGTGCCTGGATCTCTCCTTTGCCCCCTAGAGGCAGCTATGTGATACAGTGGATAGCACACTGGGTCTGAAGTCAGGATAAACCTAGGTCAAATCAGACCTCAGACACTTACTAGCTGTATGACCCTGGACAAGTCACTTAACCTCTGTCTGTCCCATTTTCTTCATAGGCAAAATGGGGATAATAATAGTGCTTCCCTTGGCTGTTGTGAGGATCAAATGAGATAATATTTGTAAAGTGTTTAACCTACTGCCTAGCACAGAGAAGGTGCTTAAACACTTTGTTTAAATATGTTAAATGCTTGTTTCCTGCCTTCCTTTCTTCCCTACCCCACCCCACCTTCTGTCATATTCATCTTTGTACATGACCTGTCCCATCTAGTGGATTGTAAGCTTCTGGAGCTCATTTAATCAGTAGCGTGTTCAATCAACATTTGCTGAATGGATGTATTTTATACTACTTTAATAAAGAGATCTTGTCCAGCAAGTGGGAAGTGAGAGCCTTGCTGTTCTCTGACCTTAGTCAGGCTACTTCTGGAGGATCCTAGCTAAAGTTCTGGGCATCACACTTGAGGAAGGCCATTGACAAGCTGAAAGGTGTGCAGAGGATGGCCATCAGCATGGAGATGGGGCTAGAGACCACCTCATATATACAGATTAGCAGAAAGGACTAGAAAGGTTGAGCTTATAGAAGAGGAGACCTACAGAAAACCTGCGAGTGGGGGATATAGAATGGTCGGAGGGGATGCCCACATCGATGAGGTCACAGCTCCACTGGAGAATTGGGAATCAAAAAACTGTGTTTGAATGATATTCAAATAGCTCACATGGGAAAGATAAAATTTGTTCTGCTACTAAGCCAGAGAGGGCAGAGGCAGAACAATGTGCAGAAGTGGCCCAGTAGCTGATATCAGCTCAGTGTGCTTTAGTAAAACTTTCTTATGATTAGGACTAAGACAAGAACAGATAACCTCTGGAACTAGCCATTTCTCTGGAGATCTTCAAACAGACTTTGGAGTCCACTTGTCAAAAATACAGAGAGGATTCTTTTCAAAGCATAGGCTGGGCTAAACAAACTCCCAATTCTGAGGTTCTATGACATTTTGGTGACACAGTGGACAGAGCACCAGGCTAGAGTCAGGAAGACCTAAGTTCAAATCCAGCCTCAGACATTCACTAGCTGTGTGACCCTAGGCAAGTTACTTAACTCTGTTTGCCTCAGTTTCCTCCTCTGTTAAATAGACTAGAGAAGGAAATGGCAAACCACTCCAGTATCTTTGTCAAGAAAACTCCTAAAGGGGTCACAAAGAGTCAGATACGACTGAAAAACAACTAAATGACAAACATGATACTTTGAAATAAAAGACCATGGGATTACTAGGTGGCACAGAGGATAGCTCGCCTGACATGGAATCAGGAAGACCTAAGGTCAAAACTATGCCCTGAAACTTACTAGCTGTGTGGTCCTGAGCAAGTCACTTTAACCTCTGTTTGCCTCAGTTACCTCAGTTGTAAAATGTGGATCATAATGGGACCTCTCTTGCAGAATTGTTATAAGGATCAAATGAGATAATAATTGTAATAATAATTACAAAGTGCTTAGCACAGTGCCTGACACATAGTAAGTGCTATATAAGTGTTAGATCTTGTTATTATAGTTATTAACGGGATTTAGAGCTAGAAGGGACCTTGACGGCTAGCTTCAAATCTATGATCTCATAATTCTAGTCCAATTCCCTCATTGTATTGGAAAAGAAATGGAGGCCCAGAGATATGAAATAATTTAGCCAAGGCCACACCCAGGTAGTAAGCAATAGAGCTACGATTTGTATCTAGACCTTCTGACTCTGAATCTTACATAGTGGAAGTTACAGGGAGAGACCTTTAGGCTCAATACAAGGAAGAACTTCCTGACAATGAAAACCATCCCCCTTCAGGAGTAAGTGAGTTCTCCATCCCTGGAAATCTTTAAGCAGAGGGCAGCTGGTCACTTTTCTGGAATGCTGTGGAGGGGAATTTTTGCTCCTGTCCAGGTTGGACGAGGTCCCCTTCTGGGTTGCCTCTAGCTCTGAGATGCTGTGACTCTGTATCCCCTATATCTAGAGAAGAAGGCTCTTGGGAAAACTTCTGAATCTGCAGTGGTTAGCCCAGGCCACAATGGCCAGCTTGGAAGCAAGCTAGAACCCAAATTATGGGGAATGAATCTTGCCCTCCCAGTGAATTACTGAAAGGTAGGAAGGGCCACACTTCCCCATGGAGACCTCAGAGACCTTGAGGAAGCCCCGAGAGGATGGGAAGCAGTGCTTGGCATTACTACTGAATGGCCCAGTCTAAGGTTGAAGTTTACTGTCTGGCCCTCCCCACCCTGTCTCCATCTCTATCCGTCACCTATGACCTCCAGGTGACTGCCTCCCTTGTGTGCCTTTCTCATACCCTACCCCCATATGAAGCACCACCCCGTTCTGTGCTTGAAGCACCCACCTGGCGGTTGAGACTTCAGTGTCCTTAATGCTCACAATGTAGACCGTGGTCCTCGTCGCTTCCATCAGGGCACTGCAAGCCAAGCAGAGACCAATGGAGAGACAAAAGCAGCTTGTGCCCCCTTCATCCCTCCAGGGCTAGCCCTGGTCCCAGCTCACAGCCTGGGAGCCACCTTAACTGGGCCCTGAATGGCCTGAGCCACCTCCTGATCCTGGCAGTACCAGGCTCAGGGACAGGCACAGAGACACAGACAGGGCCAAGACGGGGGGCGGACACTGAAGGAAGGGCAGGACTGGGGCAAGGAATCAACAGAGACACGGGCAGGATGAGGAAGAGAGATGGGGCAAAGAAGGAGGCACAGAAGTAAAGGGAAGGACAGAGACATGGGTATATTCAGGCCCGTTCAAGGTTGGACACACTGAGGAAGGGTCCCATTTCCCTCCCTGGTGCCCTTTCCTCCCAAGGGTCCCTGAGATTAAAGCCCCAGACCATACGCTCTGATCATATTAGCATTGCTTCCCACTTCTGCTGCTCCTGATGAGAACTGAAGCCGTAGACGATGGCTCTGGTCCACAGTGAAGAGCTAACAAGGATCAGGAAAGAGAAGACCATGAGACTGAAGGCTTGTGGGGGCTGACCACTCAGAAGGATGGTACTTGGGGTGAGGCCAAAGAGTTAGCGGGCCAAAGGTCTTGGGAGGGAAGTAAGGCAAGAGAGACTGAGGGTTCATATACTCACATTCAGGGAGGTATTCACTGTCAGAGGGGAGTTCTCAATCGGGTTATCCTGGGCCCTGATTGTTAGCTGGTAGGTTCCCTGGAGGGAACTGTCAAGGGAAGTCACCACCCTGGGGAAAGTCCCAGGTCAGGATTAGGGCCAAGGGTTCCCCTCCACCATGCTCAGAAACCCCCCCTTTTCACAATTAGTCCCCTCCTCCTCCCCTGTACTCTGCCCACCTAGAATGATAGTCTCTTAAAGCTAGAGGGGACCTCAGAAGTGGCCTAGTCCAGTGTCCTATCCAATGCAGGAAAACCCTTTATGGTATCCTCAATGCCTAGCTTCTATTTGGGTGTTTGCAGGGACCTCACTACCTCCCAAAGCAACCCAGAACCAAAGAATGTCAGATTTGGAAGAGAACACAGGGGCAATCTAGGCCAACCCATACCTATATGGGAATCCCCTCTAAAATATTCCCCTAAAAGCGGTCACCCAGCCTTCACCTGAAGGCCTCTTCAATGACCGATTACCAGCCCTTCATTCCACTGTTGAAAAGCTCTGATTATCCCTTCCCCACAACAAGGCCACTTGCCCCTCTTCAGTTCCCATCTCTGAGACCCCCTTCCCCAGGTTACTCTATGCTGCCTGTGTATATGTCGCCTTCAGATGAAGACTTGATCCGGAATAGGCCTTCAGAGGGGATTCTGGAGCCATCCTTAGAGATGAATTCCACCCAGTCAATGAAGAAGGAAAGGACCGCATTGACCCCATCATCCTCATCTTTGGCCTGGGGAAAAGAGCAACATAAGGTAGCCTGCTCTGGGGCTTTCTAGTCTGAGACCTGGAAACACTGGGGATGGGGAGGACAACGGCCAGATAATCAGAGTTTCATGGTTCCCCCAGAACTGAAAGAGAACCTAAAGATCATCAAGTCCAATCCTTTTTTTTTTTTAACAAGGGAAATGATTTATCTAAGATCACATGGAGAATCAATGGAATAGGAGAGCAAGAACCCAGATCTTTTGACTCCCAAGCTAAAATTCTTTCCAATGCAACCATCATGTTATTTCTTAGAGACTCAAATGGCTGAACCGAGAGGTCCCAAGGAGTGGACTCTTACCTTCACAGAAGCCACCTGCTGATTCGGAGAAAGAATTTCTGGTATGATCACTACAGAGAAGAGATAAGATTAATAGACTCAGCAGATGCCAGGTCTTGGGGACAAGATGCAAGGGGCATGCCCAGAGAAGAGATAAGATTAATAGACTCAGCAGATGCCAGGTCTTGGGGACAAGATGCAAGGGGCATGCCATTAGGAGAGCAAGGGGGTGATGGTGGGAGGATAGTGGTACGGAGAGAGACTGGACTTGTGATTTCATTAATATGGGGAACCCTAGGTTAAGGAAACACCTTCTATTAATGCAGGTCCCTGCCTTCTCTACAATTTAGAGAATTACCTAGAGAGCTGAGAGGTTAAGTGTCTTCTCCAGGGTCACACAGCCTGTGTATGTCAGAGGTAGGTCTTAAATATAGGTCACCCTGACTTACAAGATTGGTCCAAGGGGTAAGGAAGGTCCTCAAATTTGCCTCCTCACCACAATTCCCTGGTGTTGGACCAATCAGGTTGAGGCCACACCAGGGAGAAGCAAGAGGATCCAGATATAGAGAGACCCCCAGCACAGAGAAAAAGTGATTATTCCTCACCAAATGTCTCATTCAAAGGCAGGAATTGGGGTGGATGGTCATTCACATCCAAGATGGCAATGGGTAGAGTCTCTGCAAAAGCAGAAGTCAGAGACTCAGTCCTACAGAAAGAGGCTAAATCTGGTATCTCTAGAGCTCCCTATCATTCTCTCCTCTCCTCCCACTGGCTTTACTTAACCATTAGCTTCCCCCCTTCACCATTCTCCCCCTGCCTGCCTGAGCAGAGCTCTCACCATTAGGGCTGCTGGCAGGGAAACCCTCAGCTGTATGGAGATCCCAGGCCTGTAGGAGTAATCTGACGAGGTCACAGACTTCATAATCGATGGCCAAGCTGTCGTTGATATAGACACTACCGTTGGGGACCAAGCTAAACCAATCTTGGCACACAGTACCCATGTTAACCTCCCTCTTGAAGCAGCCTATGTCCTGAAGGCGGATTTCCAGTGAGGCGTTCGTGTCAGGATCTTGGGCCACAACCCAGGTCACAAGCTCATCCTTTTTGCCTTGGTGCTCAAACACTTTGACCTCCTCCAAAGAGGATGCTAAGATGGTCGGGGCCTCATCATTCACATCCTCCGTAATCACCAGCACTGTGGCAGACCCTATCCCTTCCGATTCAGCCATGTTCTGTGCCAGCATAAGCAATGTGAAGTTGCTGGGTGGCCTCTCGTAGTCTAGACTCACATCTGGGACCAGGAACACATTCCCACGACTCCAGCCTGAGCCCCGGAACGTGGAACGGATCTCAAAGTTGCTGGCTCCATCCCCAGTCAGAGTGAAGGTGACGCGGCTGTTGACATCTGTCTGGTCGGCATCCCAGGTCTCCACAAAGCCCAAGTATGCACCTGTCAGGCCCAAGAAGGAAATTGAGCCTCTATCTCTCTCCAAAGACCTTCAGCTGCCAGCCTGGTCATTGGGACACACCCTCTGATTTGGAGTCTGGTCCTTTGGGATAGATTTCATTGGAGGCAACTGGGAGGCACTTTCTGAACCCAAACCTGAGGCACTAGGAGAAGGTCCCTGGCCCAAGAATTAAGTCATTGCCTCCCCCCACCCCAATCTTGGGGATTTCAAGGCAATTCAACTCTTCAAGTATGTAATGAGCCCAGGTGTGCTGGAATGGGGATGTTGGCAAGATGGCAGATATCTGAACTCCTAGGGACTTAGAAAGCTGAGACTTAGTTTTCCTATTTATTATATTGCTAAGGATAGGGACTGGCCCTGTGACTCCAATGTTATAGGTAAAGGAAGCTTCTTCTACCAATGCAGGTCCATACCTTCTTTGTAACTTAGTTACTTAGAGCACAGAGTGATTAAGTGATTTGCCCAGGGTCACTCAGCCAGGATGTGTCAGAGGCAGGACTTCAATACAGGACTTCCTGGCTTCTAGGCTGGTTCTTCAGCCATTATTCTATATACATTACTATGTCTCTCAGCCAGGTGGTGCAGTGGATAGAACACCAAGCCTGGAGTCAAATCTGGCCTCATACACTTACTAGCTGTGTGACTCTGAGCAAGTCACTTAACCCAGTTTGCCTCAGTTTCTTCGCCTGTCAAATGAGCTGGAGAAGGAAATAGCAAACCACTCCAGTATCTTTGCCAAGAAAATGTCAAATGGGGTGACAAACAGTCAGACATGACTGAAACGACTGAACAACAAGAATGTCTCTCATATCGAGAGACATTTAAGGCTTACAAAGTGAATTGCCTACTACTCCCTACTGAGATAGGTAATGCAATTGTTACCATCCTCATTTCACAAATAAGAGAACCTAAGCTCAGAGAGGGGGAATAACTTCCTCAAGATCACACAGCTAATAAATAGCAGAAGAGGTACTCAAACCCTGTCCTGCCTCTGACACATACTGGCTGTGTGACTCCGGGCAAATCACTTCTGGATCCAAGGCATGGACTCTAAATCCAGAGGCTCTTTGTACTACACAACACTGCCTATGCCACCCCTCCCCCCCCCATCGCTCTCATACACACATACTTACATGTGCTTCATTCTGGAAGGGGGGGCAGGGTAATACTCACCCTTCAGTCTTTCCTTTACATAGAATTCATAAGTATTTTGAACAAACGCAGGCATGTTGTCATTGATGTCCTGCAGATAGAGAATGTTTGGGGGTAACTGGCAGATAAAGGTTAAATTTAACAAAGCAGAAACATATAAAAGAGGCTGTGGACCAAATATGGGGTGTGCACTGAATATGAGGTGAGGTTGGGATCCAACCTCTCCCATTTCCAACAGACTTGTTTCCTCTTGGCTGTCAGCCAATGACCTAAAATTCCCACCAACTGCATGTATTCCATACTTCTAGGAAAACCAAAAAGGAACCAGGATTAGAGACAGGGAGATTAGAATGGATCTCAGAACTGGGGAAAGGAAGAAAAGAATATGTACCTCCTCAATGACCACTTTCTTATTCCCCAACCTTCCCCCTGAGACTTCTACGATGCATTTAATATAGCTCTTAGTGTTGGAAATTAGAAAATAGAATGCCAACGCTAGAAGAGACTTTAAAAAATCATCTAGCTCCATCCTCTCATTTTGTAGATGAGCTAGAAAAATTAAGATCTAGATCGACATGATCTAGAAAAATCCGTGACCTAGAAAAAATGAGTAGCTTGTCTAGGAGCACACATGTAACAGACAGAGTATATTATAGTTGATTGTGATTACATCTTAATTCTCTTCTATACCATTAGCTGTGTGAGGGCAAGGATCATGTATGATCTGCACACAGTGAGCACTGATGCATTTACTAAGAGAATTGGCATCATCTGTCCAGAGGTCCCTCCTTTCAAACATTCACTCCTCCTATGGCTTCTGAGATAGTGCCCTCTCTCAGCTCTCCTCCTACCTCCATGACCACTACTTCTTAGACTCTTTTGCTGTCCCATCATCCATCATCTGCCTCCCATGTGTGGGTGTTCCCCAAGGCTCTGTCATGGGCTCTCTTCTCACTCTACATTTTCTTTTGATGTTCTCAGCTGTTCCCATGTGTTCACTAATCATCTCTTCAAGTGCCTTCCAAATCTCTCTCTTCAATCATAATCTCTCTTAAACTCTCATCTCAAATCATCAACTGTCCACTAGATATTCTCTACAGGATATCTTGTAAATATCTTAAATTCAACATGCTCAAAATGGATTGTCTTCTCCTAAAACCCATCCTTCTTCCTAACTTCCCAATTTCTGTTGAGAATAAAAATATCTTCCCATTAAATGTATTTTGCATGACTATACATGTATAACCTATGTCAAATTGCTTGCCTTCTCAATGAGGGAAGGGAGGGAAGGGGAGGAGAAAATTTGGAACTCAAAATTTGAAAAAAGAATGTTTGTACATGTAATTGGAAAAAAATAAAATATTTTTAAAAATAAATCTCTTCCCACTAACCCGGATAAAATAACTATCATTTACAAAGCACTCTATGGTCTATTAATCACAGTACAAATGTTATCTCATTGGATTCTCACAAAAGCTCTGTGAGGAAGGTGCTGGTCATCTCCACTTTAGAGAACTGGAAACTGAGGCTGAGAGAGGGATTTAGTGACTTGCCCATTCTCACACAACTAATAAGTGTCTGAGATGGGATTTGAACTCAGGTCTTCCTGGCTCTAAGTCTAATGCTCTCACTTACTGCACCTCCAAACTGCCCCCTCAGTAAATGTCACATCTCCTTCTCTTCTGTCTCACGTGGGCACTGACACACTTCAGGCCTTTTGTCATACTGACTATTATATTAGCCTCCTGTCCTCCAGCTTCCCATGCCGTCTCTGTCTAATCCATACTCCACACAGTTGCCAAAATAATCTTCCCAAAGTGCCAGTCTGACCATGTCACTTCCCTTGGTCAAAAACCTTCAGATGACTATCTATTTGCCTCTAGGATACAATGCAAACTCTTCAGGGAGGCATTTATAGTCCTCTACAATCTGGATATAGCCTCCTTTCTAGCCTCATTGCACACTGCTCCACTCTATGCACGGCATGTCCCTCCCAAATTGGAATGCTAATTATTCTCCAAACCTGACATGAGACCGCCCCCCCCCATACATTCACACAGGCAGCAATGCTCTCCCTACTTATCTCTGACCTTCAAAATCTTAGATCTTCCTTGGAGGCTCAGCTGAGGTGCCATTTCTTCTGTGAAGCCTTCCCTGACACCCACCCACTCACACAGCTGTCAGAGTCCTCTTGTTTTTAAAATTACCTCTGTAATATCACGTATCCTCATGTACACTGATCAGCAAGCTTTCCCTCAGCAAAATGCAAGCCCCTTGAGGACAAGGTATGGCTTTACTGTGGTCTGTGTATTCCTAGTGTCTAGCACAAGATATTACATATGCTAAGTGATTAATAAATAAAATTAATAAATGGGTTGAGTTTATTGATTTGTTGTTTAATTAACTGGAAGTGTAACCCTAGTTCCAAAGCCCACTGGTATGGGACTCTCTCCTCATTGGCAGAGATGGATATCCTGTCTCGCATGAGGATTGTGGCAGAGTTGACAAGAGCTCAGTGAGTTTTGGGAAGGGAGTTACAGAAGAAATTGAGAGTGGGCAAGGGCCGACCCAAGATGTCTTTTCCTGACCCAGAATTCACAGCCTCTAAAAAACGGGACCTTCTATATCTAGGACACTTTAAGGTCAAAGCAGTTAAGACCTCTCCCTGACCTCCTCCCAGGAAACTCTAAATTATAGGTAGAGAATGGAAGGCAGTGAGCCTAAGGAAGGCTACAGGAGCCTAAAACCAGTAGAAGGAGGAGTGCTTCTTTCCCTTGGCCTTGTTACCTCTACGTTGATGGTAACATTGACTGTGGTGTTGAGCGAGGGAACTCCTAGATCATAGACAAACACCATCAGTACGATCTTTCCCGACAGGTCGGGGTCAATGGCTTCACGGTCCAGGGGCCCCTGGTTCTTCAGTAATCCACTGACTGAGTCCAAGGTGAAGTTGTTACTATATGGCCCAGGCAGGAGCTTAAAACGGATCTCACTGTTATTAGTGCCAGGTTCATCATTGTCATAGGCCTTCAAGGTGGGGGAAGAGAAAAGGAAGAAAGGAGAGGTCAGGACCCATAACCGCTGCTGTGCCTGATTCTGCCCCATGTCACCCCCTGGTAGTTGTCTCATGTGAATGACAGCACTTCAAAGCCCATCCAGTAATAATGCAAACACTGGTCAGTGGTCAGAATCCTGGCTCAGCAGCCAAATGGCAATGGACAAGTTTCTTGGACTCACTATACCTCAGTTTAATAGACTATATTTCTGAAGCATTTAAAAGTTTACACAGTACTTTACAAATATTTACTTATTTGATCCTCACAATAACCCTAGGAGGCAAGTATTATTATTACCTTCATGTTACAGATGAAGAAACTGAGGCAGACTTCCCCAGGGTTACATAGCCAGAATGACAGATTTGAACCCAGGTCTTCTGACTCCCAGGTCTAATGCTAGAGCATTGGTCTACTGAAGCACCATGCTGCATAACCTCAATTTACTCTTCTGTAAAGAGCTTGAGGGAATTCAGAGAATTCCATGGTTCCTCCAAACGTTTAATCTAAATTCTTCTCAATGTGATTAAGGCCCAGTCCCAGGGTTCACTTCCTTCTTCCCACAGTGGATCTTTCTCTGCCCCAGTATCCACTGCTGAGACCATTCCAGTTCTCCACTCCCAGCCCTCACCTGGATGGTCACTGAGACATTGTCCATCATCTCTTTGACAAAGATGTTGTAGGAACCAGTGACAACAGGGGCCTTGTCATTGATGTCCAGCACGATGATCTGCAGGAGGGTGGAGCCCGTCAGGTCACCTCCATCTGTGGCCAGCAGTGTGAGGTAGTAGACAGATTGCAGTTCCCGGTCCAGTAGGGTGCCATTTTTCACTGTTATCTCTCCAGAGCTGGAGTTGACCTGAAAGATATCCGCACTATGGCGGCCAGATTAGAGGGGAAGGAGGAAAATTGCTGGGAATAGGTAGGCCTACCTATGCTCACTCAATAGGACTGCTATTGGCTTGAAGGGCCGGTCTCCACTCAAGCCCCAAGCCCACTAGCTCCATGACGCTAGGCAGGTACATACCTGTTCCCTGAGATAAGTTGGTAGGTGATGCGTCCTCGGAAGTCAGTATCAGGGTCTGTGGCCTAGATAAATATAACCCAAGGGTACTATCAATTAGCCAAATCTCCCACACATTATTGCCCAGTGACTCCCACCCTCTACTCCTGGAGAGTTAAGAGTATGTCCAGGAAAGGGTGACCAGCTTAATGAAAAGATTGGAGATCATGTCATACATAGTTAGCTGAAGGAACTCAGCTGTGTAGCCTGGAGAAGAGAAGACTCAGAGCAAGAGGGACATAATGGTGGTTTTCACATATTGGAAAATCTGCACTTATTTTGCTTGGCATCAGAGATCAGAGACAGATCTCTCTTCTTAACAAGAAAACATTTCCTAAGAACTAGAGCTGTCCCAAAGTAGAATGGACTGCTTCAAGAGATAGTGATTTTCCCATCCCTTTAGGTCTTCAAGTGATGGCTGCATGACCATCTGTTAGAAATGCTATAGATGGGATTTCTGCTCAGGTAGGACTTCATCTACATGTCCTCTGAGGCCCCTTCAAAGCTGATATTCAGGGATTCTATCTTCCTTTCTGAATCTGCCTGTCTTTTCTTGTCTCTATCTCCCTGTTGCCTTTCTGTCTGTCACTTTCATTCATTTATTGAGACATGGACAGACAGACAGACAGACAGACAGACACACACACACACACACACACACACACACACACACATACACATGCTCTTTCTCCTGGCTTTTGCTGACGCTCACTACACACTGCTCCATGTTTCTCAAGCATAGACACTCTGAGAAATGCTAATTCTTTCCATAACTGGGAATGCTAGCCCAGGCCAGCCCTAGGAGTTGGGGGAGTCCTTTCCTCATATCCACCCTCCACCCCAGGAAGCCCCTGGTTCTCCTTTTCCATTCCTCACCTTGATGTCGTTGGTAACCACGGTGCCATCTGGGCAGTGCTCATATACATATAGAATGTACTGGCTCTTGTTGAACTGAGGTGCGTGGTCATTAATATCTTCCACATGGATGGTTACCTTAGCAGTGGAGACCACGCCGTTGCCAGAGTCATTGGCTATGACCTTCCTCAGGGGATACAAGTATTAAGGAATTAGCACAGTGAATGAGAAAGAGCAGTACATTTGTAGTCAGAAAGACCTGAATCCTAATCCAAACTCTGTTACTTACTTAGCTATGAGACCTTGGGAAAGTCACTCCCCCTTTCTTGGCATAAATCGCCCCCTTTGTAGAAAGGGGGGCGTGGACTAAGTGATCTCTAAGGTCTCTTTCAGCTCTAAAACCCATGATTCTATGGTGTTAGGTGGCTCACTGCCCACTAAGCAGTCCCACCATGTCTCACCTCTACTTCCATTATCTGCTTCCGCTCAAAATCCACAAGGTTAGGCTGCCAGACCAACACTTGTACCTCTCCTGTGTTCACTACCTTTTCAGGGGACACAGCAAAAGCCATGTGATCAGGGCCAGACAGGGATAGCAGGAAAGTACCATTGAGGCCCTGGAAATAAGAAAGATACAGGTTCTGTTAGTTAGGGTTCCCTTCCTGCAGCCAGTCTATACTTATTTAACAATAATAGTAATGAATCTCACTTTTATCCAATTCAATTAAATGAGCATTTATTTCTATCCATACACTCTCATTCACCCCCATATCCTAGCCACCACCATTCACCATTATCTACATCTATTCCATCCAACTCCCACCCAACACCATTTACCATTATCTGTATTTATCCACTTTCATTTATCCCTATAAAACCTCCATCTATTTCTACCCATCACCATCTATCTCATCAGGGAGCTTCCAGCTGGTTCCCAAAGATCCTACCCCTCTCCTAACTTGCTGCATGGTCTCACATGAAGGGAGTGGTTAGCAGTCAAGGGAGGGGTAGGGAGCTCCAGGAAAGAGAACTCAAGGAGGAAACAGAGGGAAGCATTAATACAGTTTAGCTGGCAGCATAGCAACAGTGCCTACCTTGTCTGGATCATAAGCCACCATGGACAGGTTACTAATGGGCACTCGGGTGAAGGAGTGTTCAGTCACATAGCCACTAAAAGTAGATACCACCTTATCATCAGAGAAATCACAGTCCGGCAAGATGCAGTTGTAGAATTGGGGGGAGTGATCGTTAACATCTGTCACTCTTATGGTGACCCAGGTCTTGGCCTTTGCCTCTTGCCCATAGATGTTGAGATGGATCTCTGTGGCCTGCAGATAAAAAGTGGGAAGAGGCTTACAGAGGGCAGAGCAGGAGGAAGAGAAGGTTGACCACAAGATGGTACTCCCCCACTCACTCACTAAGGTACAGAGAGACTTGTGTCAATGAAATAAGGTTCCCATACCAATGGAATTACGGCTCATAGATTCAGAGCTGGAAGAGACCTTAGAAGGCATTTAGTTCAGCTCCCTCATTTTACAAACAAGGAAACCAGAAGTTAAGTGCCTTGCTCAGTAGCACATAGCTACTAAGTGACTGGAGCAGAATCTGAACCCAGGTCTTTCTGGCTGCAGCACACGATCCACTACATAGTGTTAGGTCTTCTGATGTACTAAAGAATATTTTCATTATCAACTTCACATGAGAACTATGGGTTGCAGTGGGAAGAATTATGGGAACTGATGCAGAGTAAAGTACAAAGATCCAAGAAAACAATATAATCAATGAGGCCAACAATGTAATCAGAAAGAACCACAACCACAAAGCCTGAACGCTGTGTAATTACAATGAGCAAGCCTGTATCCTAAGAAGAAATGAGAAAATGAACTTTCCTCCCTTCTTTGCAGAGGTGGGGAAAGATGGATGCAGAATTGGGCATATGTTGTTAGATTCCGTTGAACTGCTTTTTGCTTTCTTTTTTTTTTGTTGCAAGTTATGATTTCATGGTGGGGGAGGGGAGAAAGGAGGGATATGTTCAGAAATAAAGGTGATGTAAAAACCAAAGATATCAATCATTTTTTTTTAAAGGAAAGAGAGTGTTGTTTCTTCCCAACTCCATGCCTTTGCTCATGCCATTCTCTGTACCTAGGATGCCCTCCCTCCCCCTTCTTCGTCTGTTGAATTCCTATTCATTCCAGTACACTTAGCATGTGATCTTGTATATTACGGTTATCTATTTGTGTTCTATCTCCCTGCTTCAAGAGGACAGGGACCCCAAACAAAGATGGAAAGGGTAGAAGAAGATAAAAATAGACAATTTTAATTATCTAAAATTTTAAATGTTTTGCATACACAAAACCAATACAGTTAAAATTAGAAGGAAAACTGGTAAAGGGAGGAAAAAAATCTTTGCCGCAATTTTCTCCAATAAGGGTCTCATTTCTAAGATGCATATGGAATTGATTCAAATTTATAAGAATTAGCCTTATTGAGGCAGCTAGGTGACGCAGCAGATAGAGCAACAGCCCTTGGTGTCAGGAGGACCTAAGTTCAAATCTGACCTCAGACACTTACTAGCTGGGTGACTCTGGGCAAGTCACTTAACCCTGATTGCCTCAAAAAAAAAAAAAAAGAATAAGAGTTATTTCCCTATTGATACACGGTCAAAGGACATGAATAGACAGTCTTTTAAGGAAGAAATTAAAGCTATCAATAGCTATGTGAAAAAATGTTCCATATCACTAATAAATTTTAAAAATGCAAATTAAAACAGATCTGAGTTTCCATTTCACATCCACAAGACTGGCAAAGTTGACTCCCAAAAAGAAAAAATGACAAGTGGTAGAGGAGCTGCAGAAAAACAGGATTCGGCCATTCCGAAAAGCAATTTGCCCAGAAAATTATTAAACTATGCGTACCCTTTGACCCAACAAAACTGCTACTAGGCCTATACCCTAAAGAGAACAAGAGAAAAAGGATCTAAATACACAATAAATGTTTGTAGTAGTGCTTTTTGAAGTGGTGATAAAGTGGGAAACTGAGGGATGAACATCAATTGAGGAATACATAAACAGATTATGGCATATGAATCCAATGGAATATTACTGTGCTATAAGAAATGACGAAAATGATGGTTCCAGAGAGACCTGGAAAGATTTGTATGAAGTGATATAAAACGAAGTAAATGGAACCGGGAGTAGAGTATGCAATAACTACATTGTAAAGACGAACAACTAGGAAAGACTTAATTAAGAACAATGACCAATCACAACTCCAGAGGACCAGTGATGAAGTTTGCTACTCTTTTCCTGACAGAGAGATGATGGAGTCAGGGTGCAGATTGAAACGTGTGTATTTTCTGTTCATGGACAGTGTGGTAATTTGTTTGCTTAATTATGAATATTTGTCATAAGGATTTCGTTTTCCTCCTCTCTTTTTCTGATAGGGAGGGGGGAAGATAGCAGGGAGAGAAAATAGCTTTTTGTTCATTAGGAAAAAATAATTTAAAAAAAACACTGAGACCATGTCTCATCTAAATCATCCCTAGCCCTCAGCACAGGGGTCCACACAAAGCAGTTGCTTATTAAATGTTTATTTATTTGAATTGTTGATTATGATGTTTAGGGAGAATGCTGTTGGAATTTCTTTTTAAGTACCCCTCTGTGGACACACACTCTTAATAAATGTTGACTGGATGAATGAATGAATGAATGAATGAATGAGTGAGTGAGTGAGTGAGTGAGTAAGTGAAAGTATCTGTCTCCAACTCACCAGCAGTCCATAACTAGCCTGGTCTGAAAAGCCACTTCCTTCTGATTAGACATCCAGATACAAAAGGTGGGCTTTATACTACAGAAAGCCTAGAGATCACCGAAGTGCTGAATTACACAGCCCCAAGACCTTATCCCAGGATTCCTCAATTTGGCCAGTCTACTTTCTTGGGCTGTGGAGCCCCGCCCATAGCTAATAGGCACTAAGCTTGGCCTGGGCGTATAACACTGCCCTCTAGTGCCACCACTTCCAACTCTAAGGTTCTTCTTCCTGTCCAAAGAGCAGAGGGGGACAGAAGGAAGTGAGGTTACAGCTGACTCCACCCACCCAAGTATGTGGCCGGTCTTCCACGTTTGCAAGCCTATCACTACCTCAGAGACACATAACTCAAATCTCACCTCCAAAGAAATATTCTCCAAGCATCCCACAAGCAGACAATGTTCTTTTTACAACATTTCCCTGGAGACAGTGAAGTTGACCCTCTTTCTCAGAACCTTGGACTCCACTCCTGACACCCTGGCTCTGATTGCTTTTGCTTTATCTTGCCCAGAGCATCCATTTCTATGCTAGGCCACCAGGTGTTCATCCACCACCCCCACCCCTGTGCAGCTCCCCTTTATGTGTTGTCTTCCCTCCCCCCATTAGAATGCAAGCTCGTTGAGGGCAAGGACTATCTTGCTCTTATTAGTATTCTCAATTCTTAGCAGAGTACCTAGCATATAGTAAGCACTTAATAAATGCTCTATGTATGTATCTATCTATCTCCCTATCTATAATAATATCCACAGACAATGCCCACTTCTTCACAGATACAAACAGATGTGAAGAGGGATGAGGAAAAAGGAGAAAAGGGGAGGGGAGAAAAGAGAAAAGGGTTCCAGTAGCCAGCAAAATAGACAACTCTAGCTGGGACTGGGTGGGACCTGTGTCCCTTCTTCATCTTTGAGCTCACCGTGACCTCCAAGAGCACCTCTTCATCTTCATCCAGCAGTAGTTCCCGATCCAAAGGGTGGCTCACCTCGATGACCCCATCCTGCTCCCCGATGCTGAACCAAGGCCTTGTAGAATCTGAGCAGGAAGACTGAGGTGAGGGGATAGGGGCTGGAAGGCTGAGGGCCCAATCTCCATCCCCAAACCAAGCAGATTGCCCAAGAGAGGGAGGGACTATGGGCATGCATCCTGAAGCCAAGTTCAGGATCCTGGGCATGTGGGGAAGATACCCTGCTGTTTACTAGCCCTCTGTCATTTCTCTTCCCATTTCTTTTCTCTAAATCTCAGGGATCCTGAATCTATGATCCCAATATGGTGACCTCAATGCTATCCCTTTTCCATTCCACTTCCCTCCAACTCTAGTCTATGGAGGAAGAGAGGGTAAGGGGAGGAAAAGGGAAGAGAGGAGGACGAAATAGGTAAAGGAGAAGGTATAAAGGAAAGAGGAGGGAAGAAAAGGAAGACCCAGCAGAACCACTGTCTTCTCACTAGAAATAGAGAATTTGACCAGATCGTTGATGCCTTTGTCTCCATCCATAGTCTTCAAGGTCAACACTGAGGTGCCCTGGAAGGAGAGGCCACCAGCCTAATCAGAAGGGGGATCCCAAGGAAGACCTAGACCACCCCATCCCAAGGTCCACCCACCCACCCACTCCCAGCCCCTGCCTCACCACGGCTGCATCCTCTCCTACTGAAGCTATGTAAGGCTCCTGGAGAAACTGTGGGTCCAGATCTGGAAGGTCCATCACTGTGATTGTCAGGAAGGCTGATTGGGAACACAATGGTTTAACCGGGTCTTGGTCCTGCAAAGAATGGCAGGACGGGCTTGTTTGTGAGACCTCCTTCATTCTACCCCCTTCCTCCTTTCTCCCTAGCTTTCCAACCAGAACACTCCAATCAGGCCCTAGGAAGGCTCCTTTCTCCCCGACAGGAAATCCTCTCTTGCCCCTCTACCCCAAAAAGTTTCCCTTCCCCCAGACCAGAGTCTTCTCTCACACAGGACTGCAGTTTCAGTTGGTAGAATATGCTTTTGTTGTTGTAGCTGAGAGGACCTTCAAGGATGATGGTTCCATTGGGCAGGATGGAGAAGAGCTTCTGGTTTTCCAGAGTGTAGGGGATGACCTGACATAGGGGTGGTAATAGAGATCAAATGAGAGAGTTTAGCCCAGTTACCATGGGGCGAGGGCAGGCCACTGTTCTGGGCCCTGAGGGAGAGTAGGCCTGGGCCCGGCTGAGCCAGCTCTAAGGCTACTCAAGGATCCTGGCCTGCCTTTCTCTAGTTCTGCCCCCACCCAACACACTGCCCTCCATCTCTTCCATCCAGGTCTTAGGAACCTCTGAAGTTGAGCAGTGAGCCATAGTCAATTCCTCTCCTCCTCCAATTGGCAACCACTCTCATTGCCCCCCTCCCCACTGAACCCAAGTTATTAGGGAAATGTTGAAAGCCCATACGACCTCCAGCTAGAACTGAGACAAGAACACAGGAGTCCTGGTTAGAGTCATAACTAACCAGCCAACCTAACTGGGTCTTGGACCTAGGGAACTAATGCTGGGGGCAATGGTTCTTTTCTCCCCAGCATTGGTCTTTTTCCCAAATTTCACCTTGGCACCTCTGCTTGTCTGAACTGACTCAGAGTGCAACTGTCTCAGTCCCATTTCAGTGGGGCCTCTTTCCTGGGGCCTGTCCTCACAATCATGGTGGGGGAAGGGACAAGGGGACAAGATGTCCCCTCTCCTGGCAAGGACACACTTGAAACTGGATTTTGCCCTCGAGCCCTACCCCCATCCCTGCCACCCTTCACTACTGAATTTGTCACCTACACAGACACACACAAGAATTCCTATGGCTCTGGTCCTAGTACCCAGTTTAGTCTCTCTTCTCTGACCCTGGGCTGGGAATAGGTAGGTTTGAGCATAGTTCAGGTTCTGCCAATGACTTGTCACATGACTGGCCAGTCCCTTCCCTTTCCTTTGCCTCAGTTTCTTCATTTGTAGAATAAAGAGGTCCAAGGTCTCCAGGGTCCTTTCCAGTTTAAACTCTGAGATATTAAAATCTAAGCTCTAACTCTGAGTAAATCACGTAATTAGATTAGCTACTCTCTAAGGTTCTTTCTACTCTGACAGTAGATGATTCTGTGATTTTTTTTGAGGGACCTTCCCCTCAGAGGACAAAGATGGAATTATGGCATGTGAGAGGTATCAGAGTCCTTAGAACATAAAGCTGGAATGTCAGACTGGAGATGGACCTTAAAGACCATTTTAATCCAACTCCCTCATTATACAGATGGAAAAACCAAAGCTCACAAGAGTCAGCTTGATTAGTTACTGGGAGTGAGTGGCAGAGATGGTGCTGGAGTCCATTCCCTTGAGCTGTTCTGTTTCACCCACCAGATAGCCCTCCTTCTTCCCTGCCCACTCATAGCCCTGAAGCTGTCCAACGTAGGGGGAAGGGACATCTCTCAGTGCCTCTTCTCCTTCCACACCCCAGGGTTGATGCCACCTAATTGTGTGGGAAGACACTGCCCTCTTGTGGTCTCACAAGGAGCAATCCAGCTTTCTAGTTCCTAGGACAGACCCAAGCCTCTAGATCAGGTAAGGTTCTGAAGATTCCTGTTGTCACATGGATCCATAGCCCATGAATGACCCTCCACCCCAGGTGATCTCAGAACACCTTCGCTCCCTGTCTGACTCACCTCAAGAATGGTGTAGTTCACTACGCCACCTAACCCCGTGTCCCGGTCTTCTGCTCTCACTGTGTAAACCTGGGAGCCCACAGGTAGGGTCTGTAACATAGAGAAGAGACGGATCAGGAAGTTTTAGAGGCTGTACACACCACCCCCACTTCTGGATCAGCTCAAACCCCAGTCTGGGGACCTGAGCCACCCTCCTGGCTTAGGAGAAGGAGTGGGCAGGGACTCGGGCCTCCTCAGCTTCCAAGACCTGGAAGACCTCCCTCTAGAGCATCCTGATACTCAGTGACTGAATCCAGAAGTTTCTCCTTTCTTGCCTAGGGACTCCAGTTTTTAAGTCCTCTATCCAGGTCTGTAGGACTGGCATAAGCCCAAAGGGAAGTTTTAGGAACTAAACTCATGGAAGGAGGAGAGGGTAGAGAGAGAGATTTCCTCATTACTGCCACCTTCTCTTCCATTCTCCATAGGTTATTTTAAACCTCTCCCTCTCTCTCTCTCTCTCTCTCTCTCTTTCTCTTGTCTTCAAGCCTCTGTCACTTTTCCTTCTGACCCTCATCCCTTCACTCCTAGTAGATGATCTTGTTTCTTACTTCACTGAAAGCAAATTTATTAGATTTAGATCCCCTCATCTTCTTCACCATCTACAAACATACATTCACCTGTTCTCTCCTCCTTCCTTCAAGTTTCAGATGTGTCACCCCTCTTCACTAAGATTAACCTCTCCTCCTGGCCCCCTAATCCCATTCCCTCCTATTTCCTCTAGAACCTTAGTCTATTAATCATTCCTTTCTTTCTCCTGCTTCTTCAAGTTCTCCTCATCTGGCTCTTTCCCTTCAGCCCATAAACATATTCCATCCCCCTTAATCCTAAAAAAGAAAAAAAGTCTTTTCTGTATCCTACAACCTTCTTAAGCTACTGAACCATCTCTCTCCTCCCCATCATTGACAGTCTCTTAGAAACAATGGTTCACGTACCCTGTCTCACATACTCTCCACCCACTGTCTTCAGCCCCTGCAATCTAGCTTCGAGCCTTACCAGTTAACTGAAACTTCTCTCTCCAATGTGACCAGGGACCTTCTAGTCATCAAATCCAATCTTCTCAGTCCTCATTCTCCTCTCCAAAGCATCTGACTCACAACCACCCCTTCCTGGATGTTCTCTCTTCCCTTGTCTTTTATAATATTGCCCTCTCCTGGTTCTCCTCCCATCTCCCGTATGGTCCCACCTGTCTCTAAAAATAATACTTCCTCCTATGTCCTTAGAATAGACCTTTCCAAAGTGTCAATGCTTAGTCCATTTCTCTTCTTTCTCCATTCCTTGAAAATCTCATTTACTTGTTTGATTTCAATGTTCACTTCTGTGTTGATAACTAACTACTCAATCTATATCTCTAACCCTGACATCTCTCTGAAGATCCGTCTTTTATCTCCAACTGCCTGCTAGATATCTGAGCCTGGATGTCACTCCTGGATGTCAATATGTTCAACATTAGCATCATCATTTTCCCTTCAAAACCTGCCCCCTTTTCTGACTTCCCTATTACTATTTCCACCATCCTCCTCATCACTTGGGCAAGAAAAGTCTTTTTCTTTCCTTTATTCCTTATATCTAATCAGTCACTGAGTTTTTCAGGCTCTACCTCCACTGTATCTCTCATTCATTCCATCTTCTCTTGGATTCATTGACTCACACTGGTAGAGTTGGAAAGAGCATCAGAGGACAATGAATCCAAACTTCATATTTTACAGATGGAAAAACTGAGGCCCACAAATGGAAACTGCCTTGCCCAAGGTTATATTGAATTAGTGGCAGGGACTAGACTCTAGGCCTAAGTTTTGACCTAGTGCACTTTCCTTTACCCCATAATACCTACCGTTCCAGCCTAGTTCAAGTCTTAGCACTTCTCACCTGGATTACTGCAATGTCTCCTAACTGGTAATCCTGCCTGTAGACTTTCATTAGATGTGGAATCAAGAGCCCTAACTTGGAATCTAGACTCTGCCACTGACAAATTGTATGACTGTAGGCAAGTCATTTCATCTTTCTGACTTGTTTTTCCCGTCAGGAAAATGGAGATAATAATACTTACCTGGAGTCTCTCTCACGAAGCACTTTGCAAATTTTAAATCACTATAGAATTATTTTACATATGATGCCCCAAGGAAGGGACAGAATTGAAAATCCTGGCAAGAATGATATTTTATTCTTCTCCATCTCAACACCACCAGTACCATTACTCTCACTAAGTCCACAAATAGCAGAAACCCAATGTGGAGCTCTGCTCTTGGTCCTGACTTCAGACCCCTGCCCTACTCAGCCTGACCCAGGACCCTCTCTCCTTGGTCCTGACCCCTAGATTTATACCCCTTCTGGTGCTGACTCTGGTCCTCTCTCCTTGGTTCTAATCCCAAATCCCAATTTCCTTGATCCCGACCTTTACACTACAAATATCCCACTGCCCTCCATCCAAGACTCCTGAGCTCATAGTATACTCTACCTCATTGATACTAGTAGAATAGGGTGTGTTCAGGAAGACTGGTTCATTGTCATTACAGTCAGTCACAATAATTTGCAACTGCTTCTGCACCTTTATGAGGGAAGAGGAGGCCAGTATTAGACTGTATGATCCCTAGAGGTAAAGACGATGTCATATCTATATAACATAGAGATAATCCCAGAATATGATAGTTTGTACATAGTAGGTACTTAATAAATATTGGACGAATTGAATTTATTCAATTCTCAGAGCTGCCTAACTACATCACAGAACTTTCTTAAGGTTCAGTACAGCTAGGCTCCCTATGCATGAGCCACAATTTGATAGGTCTAGCTGAGTGAGGAAGGGACATAGCTAAGCCCATTCCTGATCATCCTGGTTCTGGAGGTAAGAAAAGAAGCAGAAAATGCCAGTCGTTGTCAGAAAAAGCCTGGGATTTTAGGAGAAAGATCAAGCTAGACAAGTGATCTGGCAATCCCTACAGTTTTGCTTTGACATTCTATATGTATGTCAAATGACTTCTCATCCCAAGTCTCTTTTCAAGCAACTCATCTTCCATCTTGTCTCAGACCCAGGTGCTTGAATCTCAGTGATCCTCAGGTACCCTGGTACCAATCCAGCCTGGCTTTTGTTTTATTCTTGCTCACCTCCCATTCCCCTTTCTTTACCCTGAGGTTTGTCTCAGGTTATGATTATCTGCTGGCCCCACCTAAGGGAAAAATAGAACATCATGAACCCAGGAGTTGCCTATGTCCTAAACTAGTTCTCTGGGGTTCCTAACCCTAATCTCTACCTCAACTTTCCAAGCCTAGGCATTCCCCCAACATACCTCTGGATTTACATTATCCCACACAGAGATGGTGACATCAAAATGGAACAGTGTCTGTGGAAAAGCAGGAAGGGAGGGGTGATGCAAAGCTGACCCAACATGGATCCATTGAGCATGAACCACAAACTTCAGGGGGTTGAACTATAAAGGGTCACCTATCCACTGCCCACACTCCTGTCAATGCTATATCCTTAGTTCTTTCCTCCAGCTTGAGCTCTTCAAGTTACCAAATGTGGCTCATTCCCTCCCAGATCTATCCATATTCTCCCAACCTGTCCCTTCTCCCAGAATCCCCTACTCTGTGCCTTCTGACCCAGATCTCCCAGTCCATGTCATCTCCCAGATCCCCTGATCTATATCCTCTGCCCAGACCACTCTCTACAGATTTCCTGAACCCTATGTCCAAATTTGTCATCTTCCCACCCATATTCACTTCCAGAGTAAGGACTATTCCTGTCTTAGAAGTATTGATTTAGAAAGACTTGCATGGTCTGATGCTGAGTCAAGTGAGCAGAACCAGAAGAATGTTGTACACAGTAACAGCCACACTGTGCAATGACTAACTTTGATAGATTTAGCCCTTCTCAACAACGCAAGGATCTAAGATATCTCCAAAGGTCTCATGATGGAAAATGCTATACACATCCAAAGAGAGAACTATGGAGTTTAAATGCAGATTGAAGCATACTATTTGCTCTTTTTTTTCTTCTGTTTTGTTTTGTTTCTTCTTTCTGGTGGTTCTTCCTATTGGTTCTAATTCTTCCTTACAACATGACTAATATGAAAATATATTTAACAGGGATGTATTTGTATAGCCTATATCAGATTGCATGCCATCTTGGGGAGGGAAGGGGGAGAGAGGGGGAGAAAAATTTAAAACTCAAAAGCTTATGCAAGTGATTGTCGATAAATCAAAATAAATTAATTAAAACATTTTTTAAAAGTATTGATTTAGAGCCAGAAGGGACCTTAGAGATCATCTAGTCTAATGCCATCATCTTAAAAGTGAGAAAACTGAGGTCCAGAGAGGTTAAATGCCTACGGTCACACATCTAATAAGTGTCTGAGGTATTTTTACTTTTTACTTTATCTCTGATAAAGGCCTCATGTATAGGGAATATATATAAGGAACTGAATCAAATATATAAGAATATGAGTCATTCTTTAACTGACAAATGGTCAAAGCATATGAACAGAAAGTTTTCAGATGAAGAAATCAAAACTATTTATAGTAACATGAAAAAATGTTCTAAATCACTATTGATTAGAGAAATGCAAATTAAGCTACCACCTCACATCTATCAGATTGTTAGTATGACAGAAAAGGAAAATGATAAATGTTGGAAAGGATGTGGGAAAACTGGGACACTAACGCACTGTTGGTGGAGTTGTGAACTGATCCAATCATTCTGGAGAGCAATCTAGAATTATGCCCAAAAGGCTACAAAACTGTAAATAAACTTTGATCCAGCAATACCACTTCTAGGTCTATATCTCAAAAAAATCAAAGGAAAAGGAAAAGGAAAAGGAACTATATGTACAAAAATATTTATAGTTACTCTTTTTGTGGTGGCAAAGAACTAGGAACTGAGGAGATGTCTATCTATTGGGGAATGGCTGGACAAGCTGTAGTATATATTTGTAATGGAATACTATTGTGCTATAAGAAATGATGAGCAGGATGCTTTCAGAAAAACCTGGGAAGACTTACATTAACTGAGGCAAAGTGAAGTGAGCAGAACCAGGAAAACAAAATGCACAGTAATTGAAATATTATACAATATTGTACAATGGTCTGCTGTGAATGGCTCAGCTATTCAGATCAATGCAATGATCCAAGACAATTCCAAAGGCCTTATGATGAAAAATGCTATCTACCTCCAGAGAAAGAACTGATGGAGTCTAAATGCAGATTGAAGCATAATTTTTTCACTTTATTTTCCTTGCTTTTTTTGGTAACATGGAAAATATGGAAATACGTTTTGCATGATTTCACATTATAATTGATGCCACATTTCTTGCCTTCTCAATGGGTGGGGGGAGGTAGGAGGGAGAGAGAGAATTCAGAACTTAAAATTTTAAAAAGATGAAAATTAAAAATAAATAATACTTTTAAAAAGTGCCTAAGGCTGCATTTGAACCCGACTCCAAATACATGCTGCCTCTCACGGTACAGTGTCCTGCTCTGAGCCAATACAGTCCCTAGACCTTAACGTTTTATGTGCTGCCTTTCCAAAGGACTCCCTCTACTCCTCCTTCCAGTTTTAGCCAATGATGACCCGCTTCCATCTTATTCCCAAGCTTTTACCTCATAGTCCAAAGGACTGCTCAGAATAGTCTCCCCTGTGGACTTGTCGACTTCAAAGAAATACGCATAACGACCACTCATCCGGTAGACCAGAGTATCATTATCTTGGTCTGTGGCTGTAATCCAGAAAGCTACAGTCCCTGAGGGTGGAGAGAGAAGAGAGATCTGAGATACACACACACACACACACACAGAATTTCCCTTATAGTTGACTCCTGGGCCTGTGTGGGAGACAGGGCATAGCCCTATAAGAGCTTCTGGGAGTACCCGTGTCTTGTAGACATACATTTATGGCTTATTACGGTTAAAAAGAACCTTGGAGGTCAACGGATTCTAGAATAGTAGAGCTAGGTACAGTTTGAGAATAGACACTTATTAAGTGTGTGTTGGTTGATGGTTTGATACAATGTTAGAATAAATAACATAGGCTGGTAGAGTCAGAAGAGACTCTAGGATATAGAATGTCAGAGGTGGAAAGTGCTTTAGGCATCATCTAGTGCCCCAGATTTGGGTCCAACCTCCTAATTTTACAGATCAGGAAAATGAAGCCTTAAGAAGGGAGACAACTTACCCAAAATGACACAGTGAGTTTATAGCAGTATAGCAAAGCATGGTTAGCAGGACAGTGGTTTTTTGGTTGTTGGTTTTTGGGGGGTTTTTTGCTTTGTTTTGTTTTTTGTTGGGTTTTTTTTTTTTGGTTTGTCCTTCCTTCTTGAAGAGGACCATGTCATCAGAAAGACAATGCCATGACTTGCAAGTGAATTGGATTTAAGTGAGGGAGGGCTGTGCAAAGTTACCAGCCTCACTTTCTCCTCCAGAGCCATCTGGGTCCAGTGGCCAGATATAGATCAGGACAACTGGAGATTGGCCAGGCAGGATAGTAGTATAGCAAAAACTCAAACATAGGTCATCTGTTTTTTATTCTGGCATTCTTTCCACTGACCCATCTTGACTCCTTTATGGGTACAGAGAGGAACAGGGCAGAGACCAATAGTAAAGCTCTTAGTTAACTCAAGCCCCTAGCTATGCTCTTCTATGGGAGCCCACTCATGAAAAGGTTTCAGGGACAGTTACCTGGAGGGACACATTTGGAAATGATCTTTAGAAATTCCCAAACTGAAAAACATAACAATAGCATGATAGCACAAGGAAGAGCTGGGGAGATGGGTGGTCAGAGGACATGGCTTCAAGCCCAGGATCTTGGGCAAGTTCTTTCCCTCTCTAGGCCTCTGTTTCCTGATCTGTAAAATGACAGTTGAGCCAGATAATTTTTAAGGTATTTTGAGACATAAAAGTCTACTGTTTAGTGTCTAAGAAGTAGAGATGATTTGGAGTCATCAGCTCAAGCACAAATGGACATGCGCCCATAGCACTGTCCCTTCTGTTCTGGGATAATTTCAGTCCCTCATTGTAGGACTGCACCCTAGGCCAACCCACCCACCTTGACACAATAGGTACTCACCCTTAGTCATGTCCTCAGGCAGATGAACTACAGTCATGTTATCGGTGAATCTTGGAGCTGAGTTCCCATGTACTGCAAAGGCAATACTGACCCCTGAGCCCTGAGACCCGAGACCTTGATTCCTGAGACCCAATCTCCCATGCAGAGCCCTGACCCCTGGCTCTGAGCTCTAAGCCTAAGTCTCAGAATGCTCAAATCCCTGACTCTTATCCTGGTATCCTACCTGCCCTGAATTCTGGGCCCTGGCCACTCCCAGTCTCAGTACCCCACCCTTATTCCCAGCCTCCACAAATCCCAAACTTCAGTCCTGATCATAATCCTGACCTCTCACCAGCCTTGCTCCCTGAGTCTATGACTTTTCATGACTCCTCAAATCCTATCCCCCAACTCTTATTGTAATCCTGACCTGAATCCCATCTTCCCCTAACTCATAACTCCCCAAGCACCATTTTCCAGCCATGATCCTCCCAGCCCTAGCTCTGACCCATTCCCCTCTCATGGGCACAGACATCACCTTCTCCTATAAGCTCCACAGTCTGGGCATAGGACTGGGCCTACAGCCACTATTTATTTGAACGTGGAGGCTCTAGGATGAAGTCCAAGACCTAGGGGGGGACTCCCAAGACCAAGATGATGTCAGGGCCCCTCCCAGAAGGCCTTAGAGGGTTGGGCACTAGTGATTCCAGACCTTTCAGCTAAACTGTCCCAGTTTGGCCAATGACTCTCAGGGGCTCCACTGGACCACAAAGGGAACACCAGTGGGAGCACGATGTCTTCAGACATCAGTATGCCATCAGCCACAAAGAAGGAGAAAGAAGAGGGGGACAGGAAGGAAATTCCTACCAGAGACCAAGAGACAGGGCAGAAGGACCAGCAGGCTCCAGGCCATCCTGTCCCAGGGCTACCTATAAAAAAGAAAAGGCTTCTCTAAAGTCACCCAGATAGAATTTCTTCTTTTGATCCCAGTTGGACCACTGAAAACAGAATGTCCTAGGCTTGATAGGCTCACCCCATCCCTCAAAGACACATTCATTCAATTTTGATCATAGCGTCTCCCATATCCCAGAAACCTCATTACCTCGAGGAAGGAGGAGATCTGCACCCAACTGAAACAACACTGTATCTTTGCTGCATCTTTCCCATGACATTGTTAAGTAAGTTTCTTTTGTTAAATGAGTTCCACTATAAAGTCAGGGGAAATCCTTGCTCATCTCTTCAATTCAATTAAATATCAATTTAACACATTCTGGAAATAGGGTGGAGTTAACATGGCAGAATAAGACCGCTATTCTTGCCAAGTTCTCTCAACACACTCCTCTATAACTACTTTGAAAAATGCATTTAACTGAATTCTCAGCAGAAAAAAAAACCCAATAACAACAAAAAGTCACAATAAGACATTTTCCCAGTCTGGGCAACTTAGAAACACAGAAAGAGAAGTCTACAGAGTGAGGGCTGGCTGGCTAGCTCAGTGGAAGCAGCACTGGCTATAGGCCTTGGAGGTGACAGCAGCAAAGGGGGAACATCTGGAGCTCCCTGGGATGGTAGGGGGATTGAATACCTAGCCAGGAAGAGATTCCAGGCGACCCCTGTACTAGCACTGAGTACAGGATCAGGCATCATCTGTCAGTCCTGTTGCCCGTACCCAGTTCTAGGTCACAATTCCAGGATGGAGAAGAGTGTTGCCATTTTGAAGAAGCAGAGGCCCTATCTTGGTAAGGACCAGAATGTAGACCAGGAGGGCAGCAATACGACCTCTTCTCAGATCAAATCACTATCAAAGCACCAAAAACTTACAAGTCCCTAGATGTAGCTGTGAAAACAGCAGAAGGACATAGGTCATCACAAAGACCAGGCCAGTCATCCTCCTCATCACCACCATCAAAGGTGAGCAGAGTCCATAGCATAAAGTCCAAAGTAAAAAAATAGTTTGGAAAAATAGACACCCCTCTCCCCCCCAAAAAAAAGAACTTGGGCATAAAAAACTAATATAGTGATAGGGAAGCTCAAAACACAAGCTCAGAAGAAAACAATGAATTGAAAACATCTACCAGTAAAACCTCAAAGAAAAATGCAGATTGAACACAAGCCCAACAAGGATTCCTAGAAGAGCTAAAGAAATATTTTTAAAAGAGGGGGGAAAAAGTATTTTAAAAATCAAATAAGAGTGGTGGAAGAAAAACTGGGAAAAGAAGTAAGAGTGATATAAGAAAACTATGAAAAGAAAATTAACAGCTTGGAAAAAGAGGCGCAAAAATATTAGAGAAAATAACTCCTTAAAAATTAGAATCAGTCAAGTGGAAGCTAACGACTCCATGAGACATCAAGAAATAATATTTTGGAGCATAATACGATAAAATTACATGTGTTAAATGACCTTTGAAGCACAGATTAAAAATTAATTACAAACTAAGTAACTTAATCTTAAAGAATGAATAGGTCAAAGAACAAATCATAGAAACAATAATTTCATTAAAGATAATGACAATAATGAGACAATATATCAAAATTTGTGAGATGCAGCCAAAGCAGTAGTTAGGGGAAAATTTATATCTCTAAATGCTTACACTGACAAAAGAGAGAAAAAGATCAACTAGTTGGGCATGCAACTAAAAAAAAAAAACTAGAAAAATATCAAATTAAAAATCCACAACTAAATTTTTATTAACTAGAAATCCTAAAAATCAAAAGAGAAATTAATAAAATTAAAAGTTTTTAAAAATTGAATAAATAAATAAAACAAGGAGCTGGTTTTATGAGAAAAAAATAAAATAGATTAAACCATTAGTTAAATTCATTTCTTACAAAAGAAAGAAGAAAACCAAAATACCAGTATCAGAAATGAAAAGGCTATATTGTGTGATGACTAATATTGATAACTTAACCCTTCCTGGCAATACAAGGATCTAAGATATCTCCAGAGGCCTTGTGATGGAAAATGATATCCACACCCAAAGAAAGAACTATGGAAGCCGAACTGTCATTTTTTTCTCTTCTGTTGAGTTTTATTGCCTCTTTCTGATGGTTCCTCCTATTGGTTTTAATTTCTACTTACAACACCACTAATGTGAAAATATGTTTAATATGAATGTAAATGTATAGCCTATATTAGATTGTACGCTGTCTTGGGGAGGGTGGTGGGGAGGAAGGGGGAGAAAAATTTTAAACTCAAAAACATATGGAAGTGATTATTGATAAATCAAAATAAATTAATTTAAAAAAAGAAAGAAATGAAAAGGCTGAATGTACCACCCATGAAGATTAAAAAAAATTATTAGGAACTATTTTGACAAACTATATTCTAATAAAACTGACAATCTAATTGAAACAGATGAATATTTATAAAATATAAATTGCCAAGGTTAACAGAACAGAAAATAGAAGACATAAATAACCCTATCTTGGAAAAAAGAAATTGAACAAACCATAAATGAGCTCCCTAATTTTTTTAAAAGGTCAAGATGGATTTATAAGAGAATTCTACTAAACATTTAAAGATCAATTAATTCCAATTCTATATAAATTATTTGAAAAAAATAGGTAAAAAGGGAGTCCTATCAAATTCCTTCTATGATACAAATATGGTTTTAATACCCAAATAAGGGAGAGCAAAAACAGAGAAAGAAAACTGAAGACTAATTTCCTTAATGAATATTGATGCAAAATGTTCAAATAAAATAATAGCAAAGAGATTACAACATATCACAAAGATTTTATACTATGGACAGGTTGGATTTATACCAGAAATACAACGCTGGTTCAGTATCGAAAACTATAAGCAAAACTGACCATAATAGTAATAAAAAAATCATGTGATTATATCAATAGATGCATAAAAAGCTTTTTGACAAAATTCAACCCACTCCTGTTAAAAACACTAGAAAGCATAAGAAATGATTGAACTTTTTAAAAAATTCTAAATAGTACATATCTTAAAGCCAAGAGCAAGCAGAGCTATGAATAGGGGAGGACTTCATTACCAACAAAAGATAAGAAGGGTTCATGGGAGGTTTAAAAAAAAAAAAGGTGCACACCCTTTCCTCCAAGATGGCACTGAAGGTGAAGAAGGAAGCAGTTGTCCCCCCCAAGACAGAAGCCAAGTCCAAGGCCTTGAAGGCCAAGAAGGCAGCATTGAAGGGTGGTCATAGCAACAAAAAGAAGATCCAACTGTCCCCCACCTTCCAGCAAACCAAAATACTAAGACTTTAACGGCAGCCCAAATACCCTTGGAAAAGTGTCTCTTGGAGAAACAAGCTTAATCACCATGCCATCATTAAGTTTTCCTTCACCACTGAGTCTGATATTAAGAAGAGTGAGGACAGCAACACTCCTGTCTTCATGGTGGACATCAAGGCCAACAAGCATCGGATCAAGCAGGCGGGAAAGGAGCTATATAACACCAGTGTGGCCAAAGTCAACACACTGATCTGGCCTGATGAAGAGAAGGCCTATGTCTGACTTCTTCCAGACTATGATGCTTTAGATGTTGCCAATAAAATTGGAATCATCTAAGCTGTGTCCAACTATCCCACTCCACTCACAATAACAAGTTTTCCAGTAAAAAAATAAATAAATAAAAAGTTGTACAGACAAAAACAATGAAGTCAAAATTAAAAGAAAATTAGGAAACTGGGGGGAAGGGAGGGTTTACTGGGTTTCTCTGATAAAGGTCTCATTTCTCAAATATATGAGAACTGACACAAATTTATTAAAAAAAAAAAGAGCCAATCTCCAATTCCTAAATGCTCAAAGGATATGAAGAGGCAGTTTTGAAAGGAAGAAATCAAAGCTATCAATAATCATATGAAAAAATTCTCTAAATCACTAATGACTAGAGAAATGCAAATTACAACAACTCTGAGGTACCATCTTACACTCATCAGATTGGCTAAGATGACAGAAAAGGAAAATGACAAGTGCTAAAGGGGATGTGGGTAAAATAGGTACCCTAAGGCATTGCTGGTGGAGCTGTGAACTAAACCAGCTATTCTGGAGAACAGTTTGGAACTGTGCCCAAAGGTCTATAAAACTGTGCATAAACTTTGATCCAGCAGTCCCACTATTAGGTATATACCCTAAGAAGATCAAAGGAAAAGGACCCCTACGTACAAAAATATATATAGTAGCTCTTTTAGCAGTGGCAAAGAATTGGAAACTGAGGGGATGCCCATCAATTGGGGAATGGCTGAACAAGTTATGGTATATGATTGTGATGGAATACTATTGTGCTATGAGAAATGATAAGGAAATAGTTTCAGAAAAACCTGGGAAGACTTACATGAACTGATGTGAAGTGAAGTGAGCAGAACCAGAAGAACAATCTTCACAGTGACAGCCATATTGTAAAGATAAACAAATGTGAAAGACTTAATAACTGATCAATGTAATGAGCCACTAGAACTCCAAACAACACTAGATCAACAGTTGATGGGCTTAGAATGTAGATTGAAACATGTTTTTCCTTTCTTTATTTTTCTTGCTTTCTTGGAACACAGATAATGCAGAAATATTTTGCATGATTTCATAGGTATAATGGGTATCATATCTCTTATCATCTCAATGGGTGGGGGAAGATGTGGATGGAGGGAGATAATCTGTAACTAAAAATAAATTCTTTTTTAAATTAGCACTTATTTGCCTACTAATAGGTACTGGGAATGCAAAGACAGAAAAATGAAACAATCTCTGTTCTCAAGGAGGAATTTGGTGGCACAGTGGATAGAACATTAGACCTAGAGTCAGGAAGACCTAAGTTCAAGTCTAGTCTCAAATGCTTACTAAGTGTGTGTCTCTGGGCAAGTCACTTCACCTGTTTGCCTTAGTTTCTTCAACTGTAAAGTGGAGATTAAAACAGTACTTACCTCCCATGGTTGTTGTGAGGATTAAATGAGATAATAAATTGTAAAGTACTTAGCAATGTTCCTGCAATATAATAGGTGCTTAATAAATGCTTGTTTCCTTTCCTTCATATAAACATATATACACATACACACATATATGCATATACACGTCTATATACATACATGTTATGTGTATTGTGTATGCGTATATAATACACACATAAGGAAGAAGGAGAAGGAGAAGGAGGAGGAGGAGGAGGAATAAAAGATCATCAAAAACATATTTTTAATATACACAGAAGAGAACAAAAGGAATAGCAGGAGACAGACAAGCAGGACCATGCTGGCACTGTCACGTTAAATTTAATACAGTGTTAAGGTTAGGACCTAAACCTGAGATTCACTAGTATAGGGAAGTCTCAGATAAGGAAACTCCCTCTCACAATTTAGGTCAGCACCTTTTGTGCAACTTGTAATCTCAGAGTGTTCTAGAGCACTGAGAGGTTAAAATGATCTGCCCTGGATCACACAGCCAGTATGTGTTAGAGATGATTTGAACTCAGGTCTTCCTGGTTCTTAGGCCAGCTCTCTCTCCACTCACTATACCACGCTACCTTTAAAATATATTAAATGTAATGTACATTATTAAAATATTTTAAATAATATATTTTAAACAAAATATATATTTATTGATTCACAGTTTTATAATATTCTAATTTTCTAGCCTTTGTATATGGAAGTATTGATGTTCATAGATACTTTTCTAGTTCATAATACAACATAAATTTTTTGTTTAATGTTACATGGTCTAGGAGTGTTTCATTTTGTTCCAATCCCAAACCTGGGCCACTGGACAAACTTGAATTGGACCTGGCCAACGAAAGGTAACGAGGCCCTGAACTAGGATGGTAGTTATGTTGGTAGAGAGAAGAAAATGGATGCAAGATGTTATGGAGGACAAATCTACAGGACTTGACAAATGACTGAATATGGGAGAGAGAAGAGTCAAAGGTGATCCTGAGGTTAGGTCCATGATGACTAGAAGGACAAGGGCACTCCCAATATAAATAGGGAAGTTTGGAAATGATGAATTTAGAAGGGAAGATAATGAGTTACACTGTTGAAATAAAACATCAAGGTGGAGATGTCCAATAGTGAAAGATGCAAGACTGAAGTTCAGAAGTGAGATTAGAACCCAAGGCAGATAATTGAACCCATGGAAGCAGATGAAATTCATTCATTCATTAATTTATTCAACAAGCATTTATTAGCCTCTCTGCTGACTTCCAATCTCACCTCACCAACTGCCTTTGAAAGATCTTTAACTGGATGTCCAATAGACATATTAAATTCAGCATATGTAGAGGCAGTTAGGTGGTACAGTGGATAGAGCACCAGCCCTGGAGTCAGGAGGACCTAAGTTCAAATCTGGTCTCAGACACCTGACACTAGCTGTGTGACTGTGGGAAAGTCACTTAACTCCAATTGCCCCACCCCCCAAAAAAAAAACACTCAACATATCCAAAACCAAACTCATTCTCCTTCTCCCTAAACCCTCTACCCTTAAAAAAAACTTCACTATTACTATAAGAACACCACCATCCCCCCAGTTGTCCAGACTTATCACCTCCTCACGATCTGTCACCCCTCATATGTAATCTGTTGCTAAGGCCTGTTAACTTGACCTTTGCAACATCGATTGAATATACCCTCTTCTCTACTCCGATATTGTCACCACCCTAGTACAGGCTCTCATCATCACATACCTGGACTACTGCAATAGTTTGCTAGTTGGTATGCCTACCACAAGTCTCTATCCACTTCAGTTCAACCTCTATTCAGCCACCAAAGTGATTTTCCTAAAATGTATGCCCAGACATGTCACCTCTATACTCAATAAACTTTAGTGGCTCCCTATCAGCATCAGGATCAAATACAGAATCCTCTATTTGCTATTCAAAGCCCCTTATAACCTAGCTCCTCCTACACACACCTTTCCAGTCTTCTTATATCTCATACCCCTCCATGTACTTAGATGCAAGGGACTCCAGCCTCCTTGCTGGATACTCCAAACAAGATACTCCATCTCTTAGCTCCAGGCATTTTCTCTGACTAGTCCGCATGCCTGGAATTCTCTCCCTCCTTATGTCCACTTCCTGGCTTCTCTGGCTTCCTTCAAGTTTCACCTTCTACAGGAAGCCTCTGACAATCACCCTTAATTCTAGTTCTTTTCCTCTGTTGGTTATTTCCTATTTATCCTGCTTAATCCTACATATTTGTTTGCTTATTGTCTCTACCATTAGATCATGAGTTCCTTGAGAACAGAACTGATGTTTAACTTTCTTTACATCCCAAGGACTTAGCACAGTGCCGGGTCCACAGTAGGCACTTAAAAAAATGCGTATTGGCTGACTATTAAGTACCTATTGTGTGCTCTTTTAGGCACTATAGATACAAAGACAAAACAAAAATAAAGTCTATCTTCAGAGACTGAAGTTTAAATAGTGCTCTCAAGTTTTCAAAATGTTACTTATAGTATCTTATTTGATCCTCACAATAATCCTGTGAGATAAGTACTACAGTTACTATTATTTCCATTTTACTGATGAGGAAACTGAGACTTAGAGGAGAAAATATCAGGTGAGATTTGAACTCAAGTCTTCTCCACTTCAAGTCCAGAATTGAATTTATAACATCACAATGCCTCTCCTCCACCCTTTCCCCCAAGGAAGAGAGTATAGATAAAGGAGATGGCCCTGGACAGAGCATAAGGCACCTGTTAAAGTGGCAGGAGACAAATGATGATTCAGCAAAGGAGACTGAGAAATAGTGATCAGTTGAGTAGGACAACCAAGAAAGATAAACCAAGTCATGAAAGCTAAGGGAAGTGTTCAACAACGAGATGCTTTCTCAGGTGTCTAAGACAGAACACATGGTTCCTTCCAAGGAATTCCAAAGAATTCCAAGAAAGATTTCCTATCCCTTTTGAAGGTATCACTAGCCTTTTTTTCAATGTCAAAGGATGAGGGAGACCCCTTTCCTCCTCTGAGCCAAAGCTAACCCTTCCAATAATGCCCCTGGATCCTATACCTTCTTACCTTTACCTGGACCTTAATCCATTCATCATCCGTCTCTCTATTACACCTTTAATCTCTCTATATATATATTGGTTCCTTCCCCCCTGCCTACAGATGTAGTCATATCTCTCTAATCACCCCCCCAAAAAAAAAACCTTTCCCTAGGCCCTCCTTCACCTTTACTGCCAAAATTCTGAAAAGTTATATAGCAAAGCAAACACGTCTCTCTTCACTACGATTTGACTTAATTCCAGAAATGCTAGTGGTATAAGTAAAAGAAAGAAATTAAAGAAAAATATTGGCAAAAGAGAGACAACATTATCCTATTTGCAGATATGATGGTTTACTTAAAAGACCCTAGAGAGTCAGCAAAAATATTGAGATAATAGTATCAATAATATATCAAGATACAAAAGAAATCCACAAAACCATTGGCATTTCTAAATAGTAATGACTAAAATCAGGAGGAAATGATAAAAAGAAATTCTACTAAAAATAACTTTGAATGGGTAACATGTCTAGAAGTCAATCTACCAAGTTATACTCAAAACATATATAAATTAAATTATCATCAATTAATCAATAAACATTTATTAAGTGCCTACTATGTATCAGGCACTGTGCTAAGTGCTGAGAACACAAAAAGAAACATAAAATAATCCCAGCCCTCGAGGAGCTTACAAGGAAGACAACACAAAACACATACAAAGCAAGTAAAATACAGGATAAATAGGAAATAATTACAAAGGGAAGGCACTAGAATTAAGAGGGGTTGGGGAAGACTTCCAGTAAAAGAAGAGATTTTAGTTGGGATTTAAAGGAAGCTAGAAAGGTCAGTAGGCAGGAGGTAGAGTGTTCTAGGCATGGGAGACATGCATAGAAAAAATGCCAAGAGATGGAGTATCTTGTTTGTGGAACAGCCAATATCACAGGCTCAAAAAGTAACATGTGAGGGAGTAAGCTGTAAGAAGACTGGAAAGGTGGGAGGGGGCTAGGTTGTGAAGAGCTTTGAATGCCAAACAGAGCGCTTTGCATTTGATCCTGGAGGCAATGGGGAGCCACTTATTTTATTTTTATTTGGAGTTTACTGAGTAGGTGGATGCCATGGTTGACCTATGCTTTAGGAAAATTACTTTCACGGCTGAATGGAGGATGGAATGGATCAGGGAGAAACATGAGGCAGGCAGACCCACCAGCAGGCTATTACAATAGTCCAAATGTGAGGTGATGAGGGCCAGCACTAGAGTGATGGCAGTGTTACAGGAGAGAATAGGGTGGGGCCCCCATACATGGTAATCAAGAAATTTTGCAAAGGTAAAATCAATAGGCTTTGGCAACAGGTTCTATTTGGGGGAGGGGGAGGGGAAAGATACTGAGGAGTCCAGGATGGCTCCTAG